TTGGTTTCCAATTTTGATGTGCTTTATTTCTCTCCCTAGTTTTGTGTGTTGATTTTATAACTTGCAACTTTATCAAACTCTCTTATAAGAGTTCCAATAGTCTATTAGTGGAATCTTTTGGTTTCCCTATATTATAGGAACATGCTATCTGCAAACAGGAATACTTTGACTTCCACCTTTCCAATCTGTATCCATTTGATGTCTTTCTCTTGCCTAATGGCTCTGGCTGGAACTTCCAGAACTATATTGAATAGTAATGGTGAAAGTGATCATCCTTCTCTGGCTCTGGATCTTAGTGGAAATGCTTTCAGCTTTTCCCCAGTCAACATGATGCTGGTCATATAGTGCCTTGATTGTGCTAAGGAATATTCCTTCTATACCCAATTTGCTTAAGGTTTTTGCCATGAAAAAATGTTGTATTTTATCAAGTTCTTTCTCTGCATCTACTGAGATAATATATTGGGGTTTGTTTTTGTCAATTTTTAATGTGATGTATCACCTTTATTGATTTGCACATATTGAACAATCCCTGCGTCCCTGAGATAAATCCCACTTGGACAGGGTGGATTTTGTGTGTGTGTGTGTGTGTGTGTGTGTGTGTGTTGTTGAATTCAATCAGCTAGTGTCTTATTGAGGATTTTGCATCCATGTCCATTAGGGATATTGGCCTATAGCTCTCTTTCTTGGTTGTATCTTTTTCTGGTTTTACAGTTAAGGGGATGCTGCATGCCAAACTTCTATACCCACTTCTTACTGCCCTATTGCTATTGTCTATTCACCCCAACACTCCTATCCAGCTTTGTTGCTGCTCTTAAACTTGCCAGTCATTATTCTATCATGAATCTTTGCACTAATTGCTCCTCCTTCCTGTGCTTTCCCAGATTATAGAGAACTGTCACCTCCTTCAGTTTTTTTCTCCACTCTTACCTTCTAAATGAGTTCCACTGCCATTCTCCTAATTATTACTATGGTACACTCTTTGTTTACCTTTAAACATACCAGATAGCCAATCCAGTTACAATGATGATTGATTCCTCTACTAAAATAAGCTCCAGGAAGATGGCAGGGAATTCCACTGTTTTGCTCACTACTGCTTTCTACACACCTAGAACAACGGCTGGCACACAGCCAGAGCTTAGTAAAAATGTTTGAATACATGAAGGAGTCTTACTCTGAAATAGCCATTGCAAATGGCCTTTGAGAGTCTCTTCTGTTGAGTGCTTGGCACAGCCATCAGGCTGCCCTGAGCTTCAGAGTGAATGGTGGCAGGGAGGGGGGAGAAGAGGCAGTGAAGCTAGGCTGCCCTCTGGAGAACTTAGGTGGTATTGGAAGAAGAGAAATCAGAAAATGGGTAATGAGACAGAAGCAGAGGTCAGTGGGAAATTGCTTCTATGATGAAGCAGACCTGAGCACATTTGGAAGCTTAAGGACTCTGTGGGAAGATAAGCTAATGATTTATGTTAGAAAGACAAATATGGGAGGAAGAAAATCAAAGGACTGGCTCTGTGTGGCTAAATGATTAGCTAGGTCACCTCCACCTTCAAGAGCATTCCTAACAATCATGAAAATCCAAAGCAAAGACAGAAAAAGTAGCTACTGCTTCTGACAATCTCAACTCCATTTTGGGGACATTACAGATGTTAGAGCATTCTGGCTCAGGTTATATTGCCATTCCAAGCAGCATGCAACAGCTGAGATATTACTGTAAAATCTTAAAAACTAGAATGTTGCACTTCCACATTGAGACACAAGTTCAGAAAAGGCCAGTGAAATATGGCTCATCCCAGCAGGAGACATGGCTGGGCATGCGAGTTTCAGTAGGGTCACTGGGAAGTGCAAAGTGCTGCACTGATAGACCTTCAGATTTTCCGCCAAATGCACACTTTGGCTCACTCGTGTAGGATGACCACACAGGCATTTGCTGATGAAGGGGTTGTGGGTGTCCCTTTAATAAATGGAAGAGTGCTGTCTATGGAGGGAGAACTGGAGGTTGGACTACTAATCTCAGCCTGATCCCAGTTATAGTCAAATTCAGGAGTGAGATTTTGAGAAAGTAACCTTTGGGTCTTAACCCTATGACTGCGAAATGAAGAATGCTTAGACAAGATAATATCTAAAGGTCCTGTCTGAATCAACATTAACCATCTCACCCTGTAAGATAAAGCAGCACAGAGAGGAGAAGCCAGCCAACAAAAGGGGCATCACAGTGCCCACTCTATTTCTGTTTTGGGCAGAGGACCGTTCAGGCAGATGGACCTTTCTGAGAAATTGTGACCTTAGTTTAAAATAATCAAATGTAATCTTTTGAGATCTGTGGATCATCCTTAAGAAGATAAATCTATTTTCTCTGGAAAATCTATTTTTAAACAACCACAAAACTTTACTGTGCACTTAATGCCTATAAGGCACCGTGTTCATCACTTTCCCTGGACGATTGAATTTTTTGCTTAAACAGCCCCATGAAAGATGTGCCATTCTCCTCCTTTGTTATGTGATCCTATAGGATCCTAAGTATAAGATCCTGTAAGATCCTATAGTAGCATAAGTAGCACTGGGGAGTTAAGTTAGACTAACACTTGGCTGGGAATAATTGTTTTCTTCCCTGAAATAATATTTTTGAAATTTTGATAAATTAACCAACCACCAAACAACAATAACCAAAAAAACCCTCCTTGGTTAACAAGGACATCATCAAATAAACAATTTGTTTGAAACCAGAGATTGGGTGGACATAGCAGCTGTTAAAAATGACAGCTTTCATGTAGCAGCATGGGTACTGCCCACAAGATAGACAATGTTTTACATATCCTGATGTATCAGGATGGGGGTAGTTTAGGAGGCCATTCTAATACTTAAGAAAACTGTAATAGCTTTGTGATAAATTATATCCTCTTGTTTCCTTTTAGAATTTGTGCTTTAGATGTGAAATTTAGTGAATTATTCTTTTCCTTGCTTGGAAGGCAGTGTACTGATGAACTGCTAAGTTTTGGTTTTGGCTCTGTATCAATTAGCCAAAAGCAGCTGGGTCCCCAGGGAATGTTTCTAGTATTTGTACATGTGTTGATAATGTCTGTACACTCTGAAGGTGGTTTTAATACTTTATTTCAGTTCAAGCAGTTTCATTTTAGCAGTCCCGTTTTTCTTAATCCTTCTGTAGCAGTGATTTCATCCATATTTTCATCACTTTGAAATGATTTTCTTTAAATCTTATATTGAAGTAGATTCATCATAAAGAAAATGTAAAATAAGTACAGAGGATTGGCTTGTTTTTGATATTTATACAAAGTGTATTCATAGGGGACCCAGCACTGTGACTTAGTAAGCTAAGCCTCCACCTGTCATATCAGCATCCCATATGGGTGCCGGTTTGTGTCCAGGCTGCTCCTCTTCCTATCCAGCTCTCTGCTATGGCCTGGGAGAGCTGTGGAAGATGGCTCCAGTGCTTGGGCCTCTACTCCCGTGTGGGAGACAGAAGAAAAAGCTCCTGGCTTTGGATTGGCCCAGCTCCGGCCAATAGTCATTTGGGGAGCGAACCAGCAGGTGGAAAGAATTTTCTCTCTCTCTGTCTGTATCTCTACCTCTCAGATAAATAAAACTATTAAAAAGCAGTGCATTCATGTAAATATATGAAGAAGAAATTTCATTAGTTAATAGCTTGGAGCATGTTTGCACCATTGACCATCTTTGCAGAAGTACATAATAGCTAGTCCCTTTGACTATTTCTTGAAAAAGAGAGTGCATATAATTAAAATTTTATAGTTACTGAAGGTCATTTTTAGTAAGTTCACCTTATTGTTTTTTATGAATTATTTGAAAGGTAAAATTAGAGAGAAGGGGAGATAGGTAACTTCCATTCACTGGTTCACCCTCCAAATGACTGCAATGCCAGGAACCAGGAGCTGCTGCTTCTGGGTCTCCCACGTGGGTGCAGGGCCCCGGAGACTTGTGCCATCTTAAGACTGCTGCTTTCCCAGGCACATTAGCAGAGGGCTGGATCAGAAATAGAGCAGCCCAGAGTTGAACCAGTGCCCATATGAGATGTGGGCACTGCAGGCCGCTGCTCCACCCGCTGCACCAAAGTGCCGGCCCCCATCTTATCAGCTGCTAAAGTCAAATGGTCGCTAGGGTTCCCCAAATTGGGTTATGCAGTACCATACGTGAGACCTGGTGACCTTGGGCCTTGAAGCAAAGCTGTGGTTCATTTATACATTGAAGATGATGAGGATGAGGGCCAAGGTTTTATTAATACTTAAAGTTTCTGTGAGATATTACATTAGGCTCTGTGCTAACAGCTTTATAACATCTCATTTCTCACCGCAATCATGCAGTGGTGTATGACAGGTCTGCCCCCAATCTTTACAGATGAGGAAATGGAACCGTAGTGAAGTTATCCAAGGCCAATCAGGCGTGAAGTGATTGGGGTTTAGACCTGAGCCTTGTTGGCCTTTGCAGTTCAAACTAGTAACAACCATGATATCGTGTTTCTCTACTAGCTAATAAATGGGATTCCATTGAGATGTTCCCTCCTCCTCTATGTCGTAACAACCATGAAATCGTGTTTCTCTACTAGCTAATAAATGGGATTCCATTGAGATGTTCCCTCCTCCTCTATGCCCGAGTTTCCAGTGGTGAATTCCCATCGGTCGTCAGGTGATCAAGTTTGTGTGTACGCTTTTACAAAAATCACTCTGAGATTACAGATTGTTAAAAACACAAGTTCCCCTTCCTCCTAAATCCTGGCATGGTTGCCCTACTCTCCTTTCCTCTCCTTAATTTCCAAGGGACATTGCATAGTTAAGTAGAAAGTCACCTCCCCCAGCCGCTTATTTTTTTTTTTTTTTTTAAAAACAGTATGGCATACCTTGATGTGAAAATAAGACATACAACCACTTCATTTGATCTCCTTTAAAGCAAATACAAGTTGCAAATGAATTTAATGCCATTTAAGCTGTAGGTGGAAAGAATCTGTTGCCAAAACTCATGATAAAATCTAGATAGAGCCAGATCTATTAACGATTTTATTGCTACATGCTCCCAATACAACAACAGCATCAGTAGTGTACACGTTGATAAAAAGGAATGTGTAGCTTAGAAAAGAAAGCTCAGAGATGAGAAGTACACTGAATATGCACATCTTAATGGGAGGTGTGTGTGTGTGACATCTCAGCATTCCCCTGGGACCAGATGAACGCATGCCCATGTAAACCAGAGAGAATTTCATTCTTGGGAATTTTTTAGGGAAAAAAAAGAACTTCTAGTTAGGGCTCAGGGATTCTTTTACTGTCTGGAATTTGCCTCATTCGTTCAACCTTCAAAAGTCTTGCACAAAGTAGCAGCGATTCTTAGAGGTATGGAGTCAATAGCTCAGCCTGGTAGTTTACAAGGGTTAGAATGCAAGAGCCTGAGCATGCTGTCCTTTGAAAAGCTAACCGATCTGTCTTCCTCTGCATAACATTTCTCTGACAGTTCTGGTACTGACCTTTCAAAAACGTCATGTTGACAGCACTCACCTCTTTCACATTCTTAAAAAATAATTTCTAATCGACTATTTCATTAGACAGCTAAGGTCATATTTTATATTTCCTTGAAGGGGAACAAATCATCAACTTTGTAGCAACTGTTTCAAAAATGCATAACCTCAAATTTGTTCAATTTTAGCTCTTTGAGAAGGCTGTGGTACTTTGTTCATACAGGAGAAATTGAAGCAGAACAAAACATGCATCCCTTCTGTCTCTCTAGTTTACCAAAATATGTCATTGATATTGGTGTAAATATTTAGTACATAAAAATACTATCAAGAAAAAAATCAACTTTTAATAAATAGCTTAGGTTCTGAATTCTATATACAAGTACTTTACATCTACTCCCTGTTGAGAGCATTTCTGGCTTCACTGTGAGCAAGATAATCACTGACATAAATTACTAGCACATGATTGCAGTCAGATGCATCGTGGTTGTGAACATTTGGATATGAACCATGCAGAAAATAAATATCTCAACCCTTGACAAATGCTTTCTTGAACCTCCTTCCAAAACACTACTGTATTTGAGTGTCAATTCTAGTTCAATGATTCTTTTCGCAGCTACCAACATAAGTTATTTCCAAATATCTTTCCTTGGTGATTAGTACAGTACGTGGAGTAAAACTCTCTGTATGCGCCAACAATGGGAAAATAAAAACACAAGAACATAGGACACCTCAATGGCATCTCTTATCTTGAACAGGTTCATTTACTGTTCTCTGTGGCCAATAGTATGCCAAGATAACAAGCTTATCCCTTTTCATTATAAAGATAGAAGGCAACAGATAAGCTGATATCTGTATATCTGAAGTTTTTTTTAAAAAACTATAATTTGGGTATCACATTGTTGATTCAACAAAACCATACAATGAACTTCTTTGTGTTGTAAGTAGCTATAATTCTAACCTCTTCTTCATAACCTTCTGCTTTGAAAATCAACCTATGGAATGTCAAATAAGGCAATACTCAATGACAGGCACCTAGAACATCCAGAAATGTAATATAGTAAACAATCACTTGAGAACACATCTCTTAAAATAATACTGATTTCTGCAATATACAGTATTTACACAACAGCTGCAAATTTGCTCATACAATATTTCTAATATAGATAAATAGGAATACAAGTCTAAGAATTCTTTGCTCCATTTTCAAAATTTCTGGTTAAAATGTAAACTGTTGGCATCTCTTTATTTTCACCATAACTTTTTTTAAAATAAAAATCAGCTGATATGCACAAATGGTTCCAGTCCCTTTTCTGCTACAGAGAGTGACCAACATACTTCACAACTTTCCTTCCGCTTATAATCTTTGGTGCTTTCTTCCAATTAATCCTAGTAAACAAGTCAATGCAGAACAAAAGGAGGATGAAAGCAACTCCAAAGTGAACCAGCACTTTTTGTTCTTCTATTTGGAGATGAACTGAGTTGATGACCGATGGAGAGTTCCACGTTCAACAAGCTGTATGCACCATGGGGAGAGGGAGGTCGCCCAGGCTTCCCTCTGACTTCTAGCTTCTTAGCGTCACTTTCTCATCTCTCTAAGTTGGATGATCTTACTGGATGTCTCTTATTAATCATCTTTTCATCTTTCTTTGAGGTTCTTGTCTGAGAAGAAGCACCTATTGAATTACTGACTGCAAGGAAGGGAGCAGCAGCCAACTGAGAAGCTGAACTGAGGTGGCCGCTCTGGGTGGGCGAAGAGGACGGTACTGAGACCGGCCTCAGCGTTTCGCTTCCTGATTGCTGAGCTCTCTTCTGGTGTAATTTAGCACCATCACGTTTCCTATTTGGCCTGAAAGCAGTGTGTGTGTTTGGACCTCCCATGGAAGACTTCTCAGCAGGGGTCTCTGCATAGTAAGGAACCAAGGAGGTGGGTACCACTAGAGATCCAGGGAGGCCACTAGGACTAAGAATAGTATCCTCTTGAGTTTCAGCAGCTTCTAGAAGGTACGGTGGGGGCAGGGTGCTACTGCGCTTGCTACATGACTCACAGCATAACTTGTTGTAGCCTGGTATAGAGCAGTACCGAGCCAGCACCTCCATTTGACAGAATATGGACTTGTCTCCCAAGCACGGCTCATCTGCAAAAGTCAAAATAAAGGGCAAGAAATAAACATAATTAATGAATTAAAAATATTTTGGTGAAATCTGGAACAATGAAAGTTATCTGCATGAATGTTGCATTAAATCTGAGTATTCAGGAGGAATTCACTGAACTAAGTAGCTCTTGATTTACAAAGTACTGCTGGGCCCTGGCAGTTGTGGGTTCTACCTGGATGGATGCAACTCATAGTAGACTTGAAAATATTTTAAAGAGGAACAGATTTTTTTACAGCTTAAGGATTACTGGGATAACATTTATATTTTGTAGTAAAAGGCAGGAAGTAAAAGGTCATATGCAAACGCTATAGCATCTGCAGATTGCATATCTGAGGAAGGTCTGGGGACCTTTCCTCTGTGGATGTGCAGGGACAACTGTTCAAGGAACGACCTCCATGTCCCAAGCTCCTGAGAAGTCCTAGACCAGTGAGTGTGTTTCTGTCAAGTAGGAATGTATCATCTGATTTTAGGATGAGAAAATAGGATCCATTTGACCACAAACTTGTTTCTCTTTTTATTATTTTATGTTATTTCTGGCTTTTAAATTTCATGTAGTCAGTACTCTAGTAATTTTTTAATAAAGACTTACTGGGACAACATACCAATAATACCAAAAGAAAAATGAAAATTCCATTTTGGTTAAGAGAATATGCTCCAAGTGGAATACAATAGCTTTATGTTTACTACCAACTATTTTCAGCTTATTTGAAAGCACAAATTTGGGTGAAGTGTGTCAATTTGTATTTCATTGACTTGACAGCACTTTATGTTAATAGGGTACTAATCTAATGGAACACTCACATAAAGCGCTTGATTTGTATGTCCACACAATTTTTATTTTAAAATCTTATCTTGTATAAGAACTGGACTTCAAAAAATCCAAACACCTGCGCTCTTGGGAGTGTTAGTAGGTACTGGTTGTCCAGTTGTTCCAGGGCAGGCCTGTGGGATGGGTCCAGTTCCTGCTTCTCTCTCACAGGCAGAGCCAGCGCTCAGAGTAGCACCTGGAGCTATGTGACACTGCAAGACTGATCCGCATCCAAATAATACATGCCAGGAACTGTAAATTGTGGAATTTTTTAATAGTCATTTAAAATTAAGATACATTATTGGGTAATACCATATTGGGAGCTAAGCAACCTACTATTTAGCTTGCCAAAGAAACTGGATAATACTTTTTCGAAAGTTTGAAAAATAAAAACAGAGGTGTGTCAGTTGGCAATGGTAACTGGCTTAAATGACCAGTTTTGTTGGAGTTCTAAGATTACGTCCACTTCCCAAATCTGGACTGACTTGTACTGGCCTGAGCTTTGTAGGCCTATTAATTGGATAACGCTTTTGAATATTTCCTATTAGCGAAGGTCATCATCTAGCTACACTGTAAATGCCTTAGAGTTACATCAGTGGGTTTCCCCTTAAATGTGAGGGTCACCTCAAATATCAGTGAATTATTTTTCTATGCCTGCTTCTTAAAAGAAGAAAATGTTTTTCTTTGTTTGATGAGAGGCCCTTAGTTAACCTTATACTCCTTATGCTTTGACCCTCTTCAATCGTGGTCTGAGTCCTGGCTCATAAGTGTGACCTATTCTTTCTGAGGGTCTCCTGTCTGGACATGTTTGTGCCCTGGCACTGTGGAGACTGGGTCACAGCCTGGGCCTCAGGACAGGGTGTACTTCTGTATGGAAGAGGAAAGGGAGAGAGATTCGGAGAAAAAAACACAACCCAGCAGCAAAGGAATACATTTAATTTGTCTACATCTAGAGAAGAGCTTTACAAATGAACAATGAGCACAATCAAAATATGGAGTCACACGACAAAACTGATCACTAGAGAAACGTTTTAGTCTTATTCCACTCCAGCCTCATCCTAAGCAGCTCAGGAAAAAGGACCCACATTTGGTTTCGAAAAGCCACTTGGTGCTTACGCAGGTTGGGTATCCCTGCTCTGAGATGCCTGGGACCAATGGCGTTTAGGATTTTGGAATAAATGCAGAGACTTTACCCAGTTGAGAGTCCCTAATCCAAAATACTCTGAAACCCAAAACTTTTTAAAAGTTTTGGAGTGAGAGTCTGGTGAAAAGTATTACCTATTTGCTTGAAATATTGTAAAATATGTGACCTCGCAAAAACTCCTGGAATTGGCATTTGGGCCTGGATTTCAGAGCAATAAAGCAGCTAGAAGGAATGTGGGAACACCAATGTAGTTTTGATGCCTCCGTTGCACCTGGGCTTGAGAGCAGCCTCAATCCAGTTCTTGCTGGCATTTGGGCACATCTGCAGAAACACACTGCTCTACCAGCTATTAAGAATAAAATCTAATGGGGACAGTTAGCTTTAATGTTTCTCCCTCAGTTGTTTGCTCTTTTGGGTATAACTTGGGTTTTTAAGACTTCAAATATATTAAACCTTTTACTTGGGAAAGTATATAAGTCCTATGTCTCCCCCTCATGGCCATGCTTGTTCTTACCACTACAAAGTTTAAAGACTTGAAACTTGGGCTTTTCAAAAAAAATAAAATATTTTGTAAAGTAGTTCCTAAAAAATTTACTTGGGGAGGAAAAAGTATCACTTAGCAGATGTCGATATTTAATCAATGCCTTATGTTGGTGTTGCTAGCCACAGAAAAAGCAAGTTGTACATCCTTAGAATGTCAAAGCAATGTCCATTGTTGTCATTGGGCATAGATTTGGGAGAACTGTTGTTGTGGAGAGGCGTGGGTGGGCCAAGGAGAAACAGGGGGGGGGGGGGGGGGAGGGGAAAACAGTCACAGACAGAACAGGCAAGGGGACTGGGAGACAGACACTGGGTGCTATGGTCTGAACATTTATGTCCCTCCAAAATTCTAACCCCAAGGGGACTGCAACTAGAAGGTGACACTTTGGGTGGTGACTTGGGCATGAGAATGGAGTCCTTGTGCATGGAATTGGTACCCTTAGAAAAGAGGCTGTGTGCAGTTCCCTGGCCTCATTTGACAGGGGAAGACAAAGCAACAAGGCAGTATCTAGAAAGCCCTTATCAGACACTAAATCTGTGGGCACTTTGATCTTGCACTTCTCTACCTCCAGGCTTAGAGGAATAAATTTCTGTTATAAATTACCCAGTCAAAGGTATTTTTATAGCTATATGACAAGCAGAGACTGGGGAGGGAGAGCAAGAATACCATGAGACCATGAGTAACGTGTGATGGACACATGACAGCAAGTAGCGAGTGAAACAATGGCAATCAGAGAGGAACACAAATGGAAACAGAGAATGAGATACAGACAGCTGCTAACAGATAACGGAAGCAAACAGCAATAGATTGAAGCTATCCAATGTAATGTATGTTTAAAATAACATGAAAGAGTTATCAGTAATCTCATGTTTATAACACAATAGCTAAGATACAGAATCAATCCAGATGCCCATCAACTGATGACTGAATTAAGAAAATGTGATATACACACAATGGAATACTATTAAGTCATAAATAAGAATGAAATCCTTTTTCAACAAAATAGATGCAAGTAGAGACCTTATGCTTAATGAAATAATCAGACACAAAAGACAAATACATTATGTTTTCTCTGATTAGTGGTAGCTAATATGTAGAAAATAAAAATGAATGTGATTTTGAAGAGTGAAATTGACCTCTTTGGATTATAGTCTATCACCCTTGGCTATAATTCTGTGGAATAGTGGGCTCTCTACTTTTTACTTGTTGAATATTATATTTAGCAGAGTATTAAGCCTGCGATTATAAAGTAAATTGAAAGAATGTTATTGCAAAAATTAAAAGGAAAAAGCAGGAGGGAGGGAAGATATCCTTATGTTCCTAGAATTTTATCTTTGAAATGCATGAAATATATTGTCTTTGTATTAATAAAAATATTTTTAAATAGCAAACCAATTTATAGTATACTCTGCTTTTGCACTTCAGCAAGTTGGTAGATCAGGCAAATGCCAGAGGCTGGCATATATGTGAAATGTCTGTATATGGATGGAAACAGCTTTAAAACTGAGTGGCATCAATCACGCTCATGTTGAAATTGTGTAATTGTATTAAAATAGTTCAGAACCCTCTGCAATGCTATACCTTTGACAGATGTGACAGTACAGGTAAGGAATAGGCTAGAAAACAAAAAATACGTATCCCTGTGGATCCAGATGAATGTTCATCACATATGTCTGATGCAGCCCTCACCACTGCCACTGAAGAAACAGGCTGGGCTGTGGCAGGTATGACAATTAAATGGTAGGGGCTCTGCCCCACAGAGTGTTCTTACAGAACTCTTGGGTGGATATTTGAAGGGCATTTTCCTTTGGGGATTTCTTGATAGGCAAACATACCTTCTAGAGCTTATGCTGAAATGAAATTCTGCCTTTTTTTTTTTTTTAAGTTTAGGAAACCTCATTGGAGCAGTGAAATCCATGGGTAGTACACATACCATTACAGGGAGGCAGCTGACAGGCTCTGACCGACTCGGGCTTCGCACCGTCGCAGTGGTCTGCGGCCCTGCAGATCACCTGTCTCACCTCTGTCCCTTCCCCACAGGTGACGGAGCACTGCACAAACAGAGGCTGCAGTTAGAGATCCAACAGCACAAGTAGCCACACCAACATCATCAGGACAGCGGCCAGGCCCCAGCTGGGTCCAGGGGAGTAGAGGACTCGTGGTCTTGCTGCATCACAGCCTGAAAAGGAGGAGCCACAGAACTGTCCTCACCAGCTTACTACAGGTAAGCGGCACTGCCTTTCAGATGCAGAGAAGTGGCTGGGAAAGGCAGCACCTGGAAGGTGGTACAGGGACCATGGAGATGAGCCTTGGTGGGCAGGAGAGAGACTGTATGATAGGAAAAAAGGGACAGGCAAGCTAGCCTGAACACAGGTAGGCCTGTGTGTTTTTGGGACAAAATGTTACAGAGAATACAAAACAGAGGAGCTAGCACTGTGCCACATGGGGAGTGACTCCCATTCAGTGTAAAGGTCTGGAATTAATCCCGTAAAAACCGTGAAGTCAACCCAGATGTCACACAGATCAGTTACCTTTCATACTCCTCCAATCACAGAACACCCAAACAGGGTTGGTTTCTACTCCCACCTACTCTTAAATGCAGCTACAATTTTCCCTACCTCCTTCTGGTGACTATAAAACACGCCTCAGTTTTCTGAGTTCACACAAAGCCTACCTGTACTCATGCTACATTTCAATACATCACACATGCTTACACACACCCACCTCATTCCAGGGCCCCGTCTTCCACTGGGCTGGACAGGGCACTCTGTTACAGGGCCGGCGGCTCTCGGGACGGTCGCCCACACAAAATTTGCTGTGCACTGAGCGGTTGGTGCCATCCTGGAGCGGCTGCAGGCAGCGGACGGTGCGGAGTTGATAGCCAGTACTCCCGCAGGTTTTGGTGCAGTGTTCCCACTCCTCCGCTACCCAGCTGTGGGTGTAGTGGGTTAAGGGTAGACAGTGTCATTGGGATGTGTAATATTTATGTTCTCGTGTTACAAAGCCTAGACTTTACTCTCAGAGGGACTGGCAGCAGCCGTCTGGGAGTGGGAGCCTCAAACGCCTTTCTAACTATAACAGGCTTCATGCTTTTGTTGTTAATGCCCTACTGTTTTTCTGCCTCTCAGTGACTCTGATGCCTTCTCTGCCACCCCACCCACCCTCCCAAAGGCGATCTACAAGGACAGAGAGTTTCTGAACCTTATCTTAAGGTTGCCCTGTTAGGTTCAAGTGTGAAGTTAGTTTTCAAAGGCAACTGCCAGCCATGGTGACTAATGGTGCCAAACATCTCTAAGTGAATTTAAAAAAAAATTGCAACCACCTGTTGCTTGCCAGGACAAACTGATTTGGCTGCTGCCTTTTTTTTTTTTTTTCATGGACTCTAAGAGTTTATTCGTGTTTTAATATCCTGACTGAGATGACTCTTATTGCTATGGTTGCTGCCATGAAGGCTCCCCAACACATCTATCCTGTTTGGCCAACTCAGCTCTTCTTGTTGGTCCTCCATGGGCCTGCCTAAAGGTGAAGGTAGTGTGCATTCAGGGATGGGTAGAAGAAACATTTCCAGAGAGACACTTTTAGAAGGACTTTCCAAGAGACATTGCAATGTGGGTGCCCCAAGCACTCTCCAGATAAGTTACAGGCACAACATTCTGGACGGTTCTCCACATGTGGTTACGCATGGTTACTGAGCCTTTGGGAGCACCCATTCCATCTGGTAATCGGAAGGATCTACATCTATGAAGAGTATATCTCCTCTGAGAATCACATTCAATGACAGTCATTATTAAGGTCTCTTAAAGTGAGTAACATTGCTCAGTCTGGTTGCCATAATATATTTTACTTCCAGTTGGACAAACTAGAGGAGTTGTACATTGTGAACACCAAAGATTGCCAACATGGTTTGTGGTAGCAAAGATGCTGCAGAAGGAAAATAATATATTTTATAACCTTTCTTTTTAATCCCTGGATTTATATTATCTTTTTTCTTTATCTTCCCATGAGTTTTTCAAAGAAGCAAAATAAAACAATTAAAAAGACAACTAAATAGTATGCCTCAATTACACACTGACTAATTCAATTGAAGAGCAGGGAAGAATTGTACTGAAAAGAAATAATGCATGAAATGGGAAATAATCTTTAATATCCTAAAAGTGATAAAATAATATATTGCAACCATGAAATAAGAATCAAATACTCTGAGAAAAGAATACTTGATCAACAAATAGAGCTCATGGATATAAATTATATAATGCCCAAAAGGAAAAACTCAGCAACTGGACCAAACTACAGCTGAACTATAAATGTCCAAGAAAGAATTAAAACTGAAAAATGGGTGGGAGGAGCAGTTATCAAAGAAGTAGAAGAAAATCTTCCAGAAATAAAAAATACTGCTTTAATGTTTTCAAGTCTAAGACCATTCACAACAGCATGGGTGGAACTGGATGTCATGTTCAGCAAAAGAGATGAAGGCTGCCAGATCACACTAATGTGTGGAGTCTAAAATAGGTGAACTCCCGGCAGTGGTCACACCAGAAGCTGAGGTAGGGATGAGGGTAGGAATGGAAAGATATTGGTTACAGGATACAAAGTGTCAGCTAGAAAGAAAAAGTAAGCTTTGAGGTCCACTACAAAATATGGTGACTAGAGTTAATAATAATGTCATAATTTTGCTACATGAGTAAATTCTGAATGTTTGTACTTCACACAAATATGCAAGATAAGGAATATTATAATTGACTTGATTTTACAGATCAAAAATCAGTGTATTCCATGAGTAATTGATTATAAAAAGTCTATAAGTACACAGCACAATGCATGAGAGAAGATGAACATCAGGATAATTTCAGGACACTGAGAACAAAAGAGGATACTGCAAACTTTGAAAGAAAACCAGAAGGACAGCTGGCTACTCAAGAGCAACACTGGTGTCTAGAAAGCAATGGAACAGTATTAAGATTCCGAGTGAAAATTTAGTTTGGAATTGTATATGCATGTGTGTCTCCAAATGGTCAAGGTGATATAAAAGAAAGACACTATACATAATCTTTTATGCTATTAGGCTTTTAAGAATGTCCTACACAAAAAATTTACATTTCATATACTCTTTTTCATGAAGCTGCTGGAAGACAGAAGCTCCAAGAAAGAATTAAAAAACCAAGAGTCAAGGAGATAACTAATGCAGGAAGCAGGAAATTATATACAACTAGAGCCAGGCAGTGGGAATGTCAAGGAGGACTGGGAGAAGAAACCCCATGATGAAAGCAGGGTAGAAGCCTAGGCATCTGTTCTCTGATCTCACTATCTCCACCAAGATGAAACTGACAGACACGAGTGTACAGTACTTAGAGGATACTGATACTCAGAGAAGAGAAATTTCTTAAATAACTGGAAATAGATCTACCATGTGATGCAGCACTCTCACTACTGGGTTTATACCCAAAAGACATGGATACATTATATCAAAGAGATATTTATACCAACATGTTTGTAGCCGCACTGTTCATAGTAGCCAAAATAAGCAATTAACAAGTGTCCTTCAGATGAATTAATCAAGAACATTTGATACACACACAGTGGAATATTACTCAGCTATACGAAAGAATGAAGTTCTATCATTTACATGAAAGTGACTGGAACAGAACGACATCATGTTGAGTGAAATGAGCCAGACACAGAAAGCAAACACCACATGTGGGAACTAAAGTTAAAAATGTAGTAAAAACACAAACTACATGCCCATATCAGTTTTGCTGCAAATAGTGTGTAGTAAAGCTTTGTTTCGAATCTTTGTCAAAATGATACTAGCTATATACTGCTATGCTTTTAATGATTTTTGAGTCTTAAAATTTTTGAGTGAAGTTGAACATATTTTCATTTGATTATTATTTATAGCCCTTGCATATTTTCCTGCTCAACTGCAATCTTTTTGTTTATGTGTTGAACACTTTATGTAGTGGAGCACTAAGCTTTTGACTATAATATTACGTTATCACAAAAATAAAGAAAAACAAGACATTCATTTACTCTAGAAGAAGTGTTCAAGAAAAAAACGATAATCACAGCATGTTATATGACAACTATTGAGAGATATGCTAAAATAAGAAGGTACTGCAAAAAGTTCATAGAAAGGCATATTATGAAAAAAAAAACCTATGCATGGATTTGAAAATGTTTTACACCAAAATAAACTTAAGATTCTGCTAAGTGCCCTGGTACAAACCCTGGATATTAACATCAGTAAAGATATGTCTATCAGTATTGGAAGTATTTCCCAAGGTGATTCCAAAACAAAGTATATGTGCAGCAGGGATATGGTAGAAGGCAGGGAACTGCAGTTTGTTTAAAGCAGTACACAAGAGAGTTGACTAAAAATTAATTCAAACTAAAGAGAGCTGAAGACATATAGACCTCTGCTTCGAATTAGGTGAAGACAATCAATGCTTACAGTGGATGTGTGCACTCTTGGATATTGCACATTCGTCTGATAGGTTTTGGCTTTTTGTTGGCTTCACAGAAACTTCGATGCACCATTTTATTATCACTTTTTCTGCGGCATCCATATTTAGTATACTGAAAACCTGGAAAATAATTTAATATAATCACATGCATGCTATTATCTATTTGATCATTCATCAACAGATATTTATTGTGTACAATAAGCTACATATTGCAAGGGATGCGAGATGTCCTAAGCCAATTAAATAAAAATCTTACTATTTATTGAATATATAAGATAAATGAGAATATAATTTACTTCTTATCATTAAAAAAATAAGAGGGATTGAGTGATAGAGACACGGTGTGAGCTGGTTCACTTCCCAAATGCCTACACTGGCCAGGCCGGACTGAAGCTGGGGGGCAGGGACTCAATCACTTGAGCCATTACCTGCTGCGTACCAGGAAGCAACAGTCAGGAACTGAACTCAAACATTCCAATGTGGAACAAGGACATATTAACCAGTAGGACAAACATCTATTCCTATTACAAATCATTAAACATTAATTGTGTGCTTGTTCATGAACTAGAGTTGACTATACATGGTTTGCTGTAAAACACAGATGAAAATTGCATTGACATTACATAAATGAGCTGATTTTATGGAGCTATGTGAATAAATTACTGTAGAGGGCACTAAAGGAACACAGAGGGAAAAGATCTCCACCTTAGCTGCAGGAAGGGGAGGGAACGCCTGCAAGATTACACTTCCAGAATCCCCTCAAGGGAGTGTTAATAGTATTGGGTAAAGGGAATGAACCCGAGTGACAGCAAAGGACATGATAATAGAAAACTGCAGGTGGCTTAAGAATCATGTATGAAGCGGGTGGAAGAGAGGAAAGGATTGGATCTTGAAGCCTTGAGTGATAGACAAATGTTTAGACGTTAAACAAGAGGGTCATAGGGAGTTAATAAAGGAGGTTTACTCTTTAAATTTTTATACCAGTACACATATGTACCTAAACATACATGTTTTTTGAGAAAAGTATATTTTAAAAATTTCAAACCTACAAAAATTTTTGCTAGGAAAACCCAAATGAATGCTTGGAAGCCTTACCTCTAGATTAACCATTTGTTACTGTCACCCATTTACTATATTTCATATATATACACAAGGGGACTTCAAAAAGTTTGTGGAGAAATGGAATTACAAGATAAATTTTGGTGTAATAATTTTTGATAGCCCTCATAGAAATTTTTCATAATATGCAACATCCACAAACTTAGTGAAAACTCGTTATGAGTATACTTCCAAAAGTTCATGGAAAATAGCGTTGGAAGATGATGCACATTCCCCATGGACTTTGTATGTTATTTTGCTGAACTATTTGGAAGTTACAGACAGCCTGATTTTTGAATTCTTCAGAACATATAACAAGCACATTTTTGCAGAACATCACAGTATAATTCCTATGGTCAGGAATTTTAACACCAATACATACATAACATTGGAAACTCATGTCCCTGTGATGTACTTTATGGTGATGGTTTTCAATCAAAGATCACACATTGCGTTTAGTTGTAGTGTCTCTCTAGCCTTTATCAACCATAAATAGTTTCTGAAAGATTCTTTTCGTCTTTGAGGACAGTTAATATTTTTGAGCTGGAGAGGCCAGAACTCCTGCAAAATTTCCAACAACTTAGGCTTCACTGTCTCCTACTGATTAGAATCAAGTTATTCTCTTTTTTGGCAAGAATATTATACAAATAGTGTTATCTTCAGGCAGCACATTAGGACACAGATGGATTTTACTCAGGTAAATAGTGTATTTCTGCTCATTGTTCATTCATTGACCTGAAAGATTGCACTGAAATATTCAGATGAAAAATTGAAGTAACTTAACTAGTTAAAAGACTGTGGTCCCAATTTTCCCTTCCCAAACAGCAAAGGAATTCTGATTGGGAAGGAACATATGTTGTAAATATTAAAGAATAGTGACTAATCTTGGGACCAAGCAGAATTTTAACATGCAGCAGAAGGGAGGATCTGAATCAAATAAGCATCCTGTAACAGATAATGAAGTGTCATTCTCAACAATTAACTAAAAATATTTTACAATCTTGGATTTTAAATTATAAATGATTGATCTAGGCATTCCTTCCAATGAACAGTGTTTTTGTTCTTAATTATTTAGTGTCATTTTTGTAATAGTCTCTTGCCTTGTCTGACCTGTCTGGGACAGATGGTAATAAAGTGTTTATTTTTCAAAATAAAAGGATGGATGATGGGAGAGACTGAGAGACACGGTAGACAGCTTACTGGATTTCCTATGGAGAAGGCAGAGAGGCAGCATAATGCAGCAAGTAAGAGCTTGGGCTCAGAAGCTAGGTTATTGGGGTTTGAATCCTAGGGTCCTGGGCAAATTACTACTCTTCCCTGTGCTTCAGTTTCACCATCTGCACAATGCTAGATAACCATAGTGCCAATCTCATGGGTCATTATTGGAAGTATGCATGCTTTGCTATGTACATTCAGAGCAGCATCTGGTTCCAGACACAGAGCAGAGTGAGTCCCACAGTCATATGTAACTAATAGCTCCTTTTATTAAGAACTGTGACTGAAAGGAAATGCACAGATATGGGAAGCACAAGAGGCGAAGAAAGGTGACAACCCAAGTGCACTGAACAGGAACTACAAGACCTAAAGAACCCTGGATGGGAAGGCCTTGTTTCAAACAATTCTATCCTTTGCTGATTCTGAGCTTTCAGGTCAGATGTTTGGTAGTTACCTTCGGAGGGTTAGGTTTGGCGTTTCTCAGGTTGTAGACTCCTTTAGAGACAGTCCTTAAGTAAAAGCAAGATTGGCTTTTATACAAGATTACATTTTAATAGAATAAATGGGTTCAAGTGTTACCTCCACCACAGGGTTTGGAACACTGAGACCAGCTCTTCAAAGCCCACTCAAAAGTGTCTAATTCTTCCTGGATGACATTGTTGCTGTTGATTGTAGGTACAGAGTCTTCGTGGATGATGTATTTATATGTCAGGCTAGAGCGAGTATCATTCTCCTGAGGTATAATCTAACATATACATGAAATTGACATGTCAAACACCTGGTTTTTAAACTTTGCGTGAAAAACATCACAAATATTTCAGATTATTGCTCTTATTGAAACTGAAACATTTTCAAGTAGCTTCAAAAATTAATTTTTTTCTAAAATGCAAGTGTTTGCCCTTTAAAAATGCAAATATATAAACTTGGAACACAAACATCTATAAAAATGCATACACTGGGAAGTAATAGCTTATATTATCGCAATAACTTTAAGATTCACTATAGTTTTCCTTTAATTACCATCTCATTAGTGTATTTAAAATTATCCTTTAAAATCAAGTTTGATTTTATATGATACTACCTTCATTATCCAATGAAAATTTATAATTATTGGAGAATACAAAGCCAATAAAATCATCCATAATTGTTCTGAATCATGGAAACGCAAAGCCATGTTTATTGATTCAGCATATTCCCTAAAGATGTTTGCATTGTGTGTGTGCATGAGCAGGCACAAACTTTTCTAGCCTTGCTTATCTCAGTATGCCATGCACATTTTTTGAAAGCCTGCAAAATGTCAACAGTCTTTAGTCCTGAGGTTGTTTTGAGTTACTTTACCATTTACTCATCAGTATTTGTATTGATTAGCATTTGCTTCCACCTTTGTGGAAATTTCTACTTCATAGGCTAAAGGGTACAGACACTTTGTGTGGTTGCTATAACAGACTGCAGGATGACCCACTGAAGAGTTGGAATAATTGTTGCTTTTGTAATAGAAGTATATGAAAGTGCCCTATTTCAGTACCACATATAATTTTCTCCTTCATTAATTCAATGGGCAGAAAACCATCATTTTAACTTGTTTACTTTATAATAGTAAAGTATAATTTTCCTATTACTCATATTTTGTCCACTGCACATCACATGATTGTCATTTTTTTTTTGACAGAGTGGACAGTGAGAGAGAGAGACAGAGAGAAAGGTCTTCCTTTTGCAGTTGGTTCACCCTCCAATGGCCGCCGCGGCCAGCGCACTGAGGCCGGCACACCGCGCTGATCCGATGGCAGGAGCCAGGTACTTCTCCTGGTCTCCCATGGGGTGCAGGGCCCAAGGACTTGGGCCATCCTCCTCTGCACTCCTGGGCCACAGCAGAGAGCTGGCCTGGAAGAGGGGCAACCGGGACAGAATCCGGCGCCCCGACCTGGACTAGAACCCAGTGTGCCGGCGCCGCAAGGCGGAGGATTAGCCTACTGAGCCGTGGCTCCGACCTCTGTTGTTTTTTATTGATACACATTTTTCTTTTCTAAATAATCCCTGTAGTAAAGTTAATCTTTTTTGTAATAAGAAATGCAAATATTTTTTCAGTTTGCTATTTGCCTTTTAATTTTGTTTATGGAAAGGCAGTCTTTTTAAAAGAAAAATGTTTTTGTTGAATTTCATGTACTATGGACTCATATCAATTACAGAGGGGGAGAGTGATATGCAGCTCACTGATATTTTAAATCAAACTTTTAGAAACAGTTTTTGTTTAAGAATCAAGTGATACTGAACCCTGTGGGGGTGAATGATCTGGTTAGCTGGGTTCTTTTTTTACATCAAGTACCAGCATGTACATTGTAGCTGAATATCTTAGTCTAGGCCCCTGTGCTCTGGGGCTCCAAACTTGGGGTTCCAGTCCTTTAAAGGGGGGAGATAAAGGTCATGGCAGAACACTGCCTGTGTGCAAGGCCCCTCTCCTAACCACAGCCTTCCTCCTTGCATCGTCAGCCCACCCCAGGGCAAGCTTTCCTGCAGTGTGGCATGTTTTGAAACCATTCACAAGAGTTGCTGGAGTTAGAATTCTGTGCATTTATATAAGAGTGAAATAGAGCTTCTGATCCCCAGTCATTCAAACTTCAAATGGGATTTTGATTAGCACAGATCATTTGCTATAAAATTATCCAACCCATGGAACAGAACAAAAGCTCATAAATTCAGACAATTAGTTTCTGACATAAGTGAAAAGGCAATTTAATGGAGATAGAACATTCTTTTTAACAGTCCTGGAACAACTAGACATCATGGTGGTTTAAAAAAATAAGTCCTGGTGTTGTATAGCACAGTGACTATAATTAACAATAACATATTTTATGAATTAATAGAGGAGAAAAGCTCAAAGACTTCAAAGTAATGAGGAGATGGAAATGCTAATCACCTGGATTTGATCAGTACACATTACATATATTTATTGAAATATCACACAGTGCCCTATAATTAATACAAGCATTATATGTTAATCAAAAAATACTTCCTAAGAGTTTGAGATGGAAATACTAACTAACCTGATTTGACCATTGCACACTGTATCTAGGTTTTGAGTGGCTGTACCGAGCCCTATTCACATAAAACACTAAATAAATTAACTGCCCACAGTTAGGTTGTAAGAAATAGTGACTACTATCTTGGGTGCACTATCTTGGTTTCTCTGATACTTGAATCACTTGTTCTAGTGGAAGTCAGTGCTATGTTGTAAGGACACTTAAACACCACAGGGACAAGCTCATGTGGAGAGGAACCAAGGCCTGCTAGCCACCACATGGGGAAGCTCGGGATGGATTTTCTGAGCCTATCAGCAGCCATGTGATAGAGGCTGGAAGCAAAGTCAAAGCCGGTCCTGCCTTGGGGTTATTGTGGTCACAACTGACAGCAACTTCACGAGACTTCTGCCAAAACCAGTCAGGTAAGCTTCTTGCAGATAGCTCACCACTCAACACTGCAAGATGAAGGCTGTGTGTGTCTGGCCACTACATGTGGAATAACTTATGTAGAAATAAATAACTGATATTGACATCCATTTGCAAAAATAAGAACCTAGCATTTTATAGAAAAAAAAAACTTGAAATGGTTCATAAACCTAAATGTAATTGTAAAACTACACAACTTTTAGCATATAAAGTAGGAGATGACAATTAGATGTTGGATTAAGAAAACATTCTTCCATATCACCAAAATTTTGATACACAAAAGAAATTGATGAACTGGACTTTGGTGAGGCTAAACAATTTTGCTCCATGAAAAAGAAATTACTGAAAGAATGAAAAGAGAAGCTATAAACTGGAAAATGTATTTGCAAATCATATATTTCACAGAGGATTTTATAGCCAGAATATAAAAGTTTCAAAACTCAACAATAAATAACAACTGACAATGGGCAAAATGTTTGAATAGACACTTCAAAGGGAAATAATTTTCCAAGGAAAATTAAACTGAGTAATAAGGCTTTGGATTAGTATAATTTCTTAGTAGGGAATCCAATGGATGCTTATATGCAGACTCCAACAATATATTTAAGTCATGTAGGTATCTTCTACTTCTATCCATAAGGAATAATGAAATTGCCTTCCTGATACTAAAAACTGTCAGGCCGGACCAAATCCAGGAGGGAGCTCTTGTTCCTGCAACAGATAACAGGGCTGAGGGCAAGGACCCCTGTGATAAGACGAACAAATCACCTTTTGCCTCCTGACAGATGCCAGAGTGGGGACCATGGCCCAGGGAGGAGGGATATGGGCCCACTCTCTCTTAACTGGGGAGAGAACTAAGTTTGGTACTTGCACGGTAGGGTACTAAAGAGGGGCCTGCAGAGAGAGGTGGCCCAGAAGTCTGCATGTGTCCTTGGCTGCTGGCTGAGCAGCCATGCCCAGGTCAAGACATCTGGTCTATCAGTGAGTAGGGGCTCCAGGGTTGAGAGTGGAGCACAGGTCGCAGAGGTCAGGCAGGCTTGACAGTCCCCGCAGTTCTGATCCAGAGTGAAGAGCACTCACTATCACCTCAGGGATTCGTCACAGGCCCAGAGAGGCTATGTGTGGCATCCCTTAGGAGTGTGGACAAGGAGCCGACGCCTGCAGTCCAGCATCCCACATGGGTACCCGTTGGAGTCCAAGCTGCTCCACTTCCAATCCAGGTCTCTGCTGTGGCCTGGGAAAGCAGTGGAGGATGGCCTGACTCCTTGGGCCCCTCCATCTGAGTGGGGGACCAGGAAGAAGCTCCTGGATGCAAGTGGGCTCAACTCTGGCCATTGCATACATCTGGGGAGTGAAGCAGTGGATGGAAGACACCTCTCTCTCTTTCTCACTCTGCCCCTCTGTAGTTCTGCCTTTTCTTTTTTTTAAAGATTTATTTTATTTATTTGAAAGAGTTACAGACAGGTAGAGACAGAGAGGTCTTCCATCCACTGGTTCACTCCCCAGATGGCTGCAACGGCTGGAGCTGCACTGATCTGAAGCCAGGAGCCAGGTGCTTCTTCCTGGTCTCCCAGGTAGGTGCAGGGGCCCAAGGACTTGGGCCATCTTCCACTGCTTTCCCAGGTCACAGCAGAGAGCTGCATTGGAAGAGGAGCATCTAGGACTAGAACCGGCGCCCATATGGGATGCTGGTGCTTCAGGCCAGGGCTTTAACCTGCTGTGCCACAATACCAGCCCCATGTAGTTCTGTTTCAAATAAATAAATCTTTAAAATATATGGACAAAATTAAAATAGAATAAAAATAGGTCTCAGAAGATCAGGAGGTGAGACCATGATGCAACTGCCTGCCAGAACCAAAACAACCAGACACCTTGCAGTTTATCAGCAATAATGTCCAGTGCACAATAGGCAGGAAAACGTGACCCTTAATCAAAAAGAAAAATAAGCTACCAACAGAGGCAACACGAAAACCTCGGATTCCATCAGAAATGATAAGCAAACACATGTGAAATATCAGCAGAGAGTGAAAATCAAAGAACCTAATGGAAGTTCTAGAAAGCAAAAGTGTAACATTTGATATGAAAAAAAATTACTGGATAGGTTTGTGGACATATTGGAGATCATGGAAGAAATACTGAGTAAGCATAAAAATGATCTAATCTGAAAAAACATTTTAAAAAAAGATTAGAAAAGAATGCACAGAGCCTCAGATTTGTGGAACAGTTGTAACTCAGCTTGTTTACCAGGGAAAATGTAGCCAATATCAACTTAGAGTCAAGATTCTTGTGAACCCAAATTTAATAAAGATATCACTTTATTATATATCACTCTCAAACTGCTAAAAATATTTAAAAAGCAGAGAAAATGGGCACATTACATTCAGTGCAGTGATATGATTTTGAAAGAAAAATGTTATAGAAAATGAGTCAAATGACTTCTGTGTACAGGTGCCTAGGTTGCTTATCTTTGCACAGCAGGCTGAGACTACAGCTTCAAAGCCAGCTGATGCTACGTGCAAATATGTACTCATCCAATTGTTTTAAATGCAGCCTAAACAAGAGTTTTAGCCACTTAGAGCCTGTCCGTTTTGCATATCTCTAGAAAACCTCACCCAGCATCTGCTGGATATAAAGAGGACCTTGTGGGCATAAGGACTGCACACTGCAGATGTCCTGAGATCTCTGACCAATGCAGGGAGACACATAGGCCCTCTTACCTTTGAGTCTGTCTCTCTCTAGCCTTTTTTCCATGGAGTGGTGGCCCTACTTGCTAACCTACCGAGGCCTCACCCAGATAAAGCTGCCTGGTAGGAAGATCTTTTTCTCTCTTCAGTTCCTCAATCCCTCAAGCTCGCTAGAAGGACATAAAAACTACCTCAAAATGCTAAAAAAAAAAAAAAAAAAAAAGGAGGAAAAACCTGAGCAATGCCAAATATCATATCTAGGGAAGATGTCCTTTAAAAATGAAGGTGAAATATATTTTCAGGCAATTGAAAGCTGAGAGAATTCTCACCCACACAAGGAATGCTAAAGGAAGTTCTTTATGCAGAGAGTACATGATACCAGATGGGAAGAAAGATGTATAGGAAGAACACGGAGTACCAGAAATGACAAATACATAAAGATTTACTTTTACATTTCTTGTCTCTAAAAGATAGCTGACTACTTAAGTAAAAAAAAGACAATATTATTCTGTTCATAATGTATGAGAGTACATCAAAAAGTTTGTAGAAAATGGAATTAAATGCTGTTTATTTTGTTAGAAAATATTGAAACTCATGTTTTTTGGCAACAATATATATTTTCCACAAATATTTTGAAGACCCACTCATATGCATGGATTTCAAAACTTTTTATACCAAAATAAATTTAATTTTTCATTTTTCCACGAACATTTCAAAGCTCCTTCATACACATAATGTAGTATGATAGTATTGCACATAAAGTAGGGGGACAGATAAGTGGAATTATAGAAAACAAGCAACTAAATATTTAGTGCTCAAGGCAAAAGTGTTTTCAGGTAATAAGTAAATGAATTTTAAAAATATATTATAAATAAAATTAAAAATTAAATTATAAAGAAAATTAAGTATACAACTAATTATGAAAGTATAAAGTAACCAACTTCATAATGAGTCAGTAATGCCACATACCAAAACAATCACAGGATCACGTAAGGGCCCATCAGTGTGAAGAGTTTCAATGTCATCTTCAATGTTATAATCCCACTCCACGCCAAGGTCGATGAAGGTGCGTGACTTGGCTTCCTCTCCTTTGCCATTTAGAATATAGTGGCCAGTAGCCTGGCTCTTAATAGCTAATGTAAGCAAAATGAGCAACCAGCATACATTTTATTTGATCTTTTTAGAGTTAAAAGTTCCATAGCAGGTCTCTCTCCTTCTAGAAATCAATGACCACGTTTTTTAGTATCAAGCAATTGAAATGAGTGTTAGCTGGACTATTAATACTACCAATTTCTTCAGGAGACTTTCAAAATGCTCAGTAAGCATTCTTAATAGTAAACAAAGCCAAGATGGTTAAATAGGCCAAAATAATGTTTGCAAATAGTCCCATTTGAAAACATTGTCAAAGACGTTACCAGTTGCTAACTCCTTCATTCTATACGTTTCCTCAGAAAGTTGAGAACATTTTAAATAATGGATAATTCTACAGTAACCAATAAACAATTCATGCTCAGATGTCATATAACTATTTCTTTACAATGTATCTAAAGTTAGTCAAATATCTGTAGACATCTAACATAATTAAAGCAATTTTCAGGCCAACAATTTAATTGTTGCGATTGTAAAATTCCAAGGCCACATCGCCTATTATATAGTTAGAAGAAGCTGCTTAGTGTTGACAGAATCCTTAATGAATTACAGATCTACCATCTATTATGAAATACAATGCTTTTCTAGTGGGTAAAAGGGTTTTTAAATTTTGGAGGTGGTTAGTGGCATATAATGATTAAGCTTAAAAAACAAAATTTCATGTGTCACTAACATTACTGAAAATGTGTAGCAAACATGAGAAATTTTAACTAAAACATTTATTCCTCCTGAGCTTTTAAACAAGTCTAATTTTCCCAAGGTTAGTAATCTGAATTCTTGGATGAAAAATAAGGAATTTTAAATACTGATGAGAGAATTATGGCAGATTGCTAGACTATGAGAACATCTAGTAGTGAATATAAATTCTATAAAACATGTTTTTAAAGTTATACATAAAAATTTTGCAGCAATTTTGCATGGGGCTGAGAGATGATGCTTTATTTCAGAAATATTAGTGTTTTAATAGGCTACTGAATATGTGGAAGTTTACACTCATATATATACTTTATGCTCCTTTAAAGCAACATTTCTACATGATCCTCTCCAAAAGAAGTCAAGAATCTTCTTTATGAAATTACAATTAACCATGCAAATAGGTCAACATGTGCCATTTGGAAACCTCACAGATGTTAAGACAGTTCAACATTACCCTAGTAAAATTCACCTGTGGTTGATGTTCAAAGGATTAAAATGCACTAAAAATAAATGGGTGTATATAGTGTGGCATTAATAAAAATATCAGAATTCATTAATCAACAGAGATATGATGGATTTTTCCAATAGTGCTTAATTCAATTCATTGTACCTACATTTTTATTCCCTTAATACAGAACATAAAAAGGTATAACAAACTTGTCAAGTGACTTTTTCCCCTCATGCGACAATGAACCCACCCCAGCTCCTACTGAAAATGAAAGCTCTATTTTAGAATAGTTCTTGTTTCAAGGAAAGAAGAGTTGGGAGAAATGACTAACAAAACCACAATATTCAATTTGTGCATATATGTATACACATACATATGCATCTATATATATACATAAACATATGTAGATGACTATATATGTGTATAGTCACACACACATATATACATATGTATGACTTCTTTGACATCTCAATGTTCAAGTGCATGTTAAAGGTGCGCCAGCAGGTAGAGACACTTACCAAGAATATGAGGAGAAGCCTCGTCTTCTTGGATTAACACATGTCTAGCCCCAGGGGGTATATCAAACATCTTAAGGTACCCTTTGCATGTGTTGCAATATTGGAGGAAGCAAAGAAGAAAACAAAAGCAACAACCATGGTTAGTTGAGCACTACGTTCTCGCTCCTACATGCAGAAGAGGGCATCCATGAACAGAAAGAAGCAGTTTCAGAAATGAACTTCGAAGCTTCTGTGGCTTCTGTGACATCGACATGAGATTAGAGGAATTTTTCTATTAAGGGGGAAGAGGCAGTCATTCTTGTGACCAACTTATTAGTCATCTACCTTATTTTCACCTACAAAGTGTGTCAACAACTCTGGCAAACCCTACATGATTCCAGCTTTCCAAACCACCTTTGTGAAATGCAGCCAACGTTCAGTGAGTTTGCTTAAGTGATGAACTTCTTGACACGTTCCTCTGCCGATGTATTATTTAAAAAGCTTTGGTGGCAAGTATAGGTGGCTCAACTTGCAATTATTGAAATATTTGTATATTTAATATTTAAAAGCCCACTTTATTATAAAGACATTACAAAAGAAAAGTCAGTGACTAGCTTTCACTCTCTTGTCAGTAACTTTGGGTTTTTAAACAAGGTTATTTACTAAATTTTCAAAAATACATGTTGCAGATTTGACCAAATGGTCAGAAAATGAAATTGATGTCATACATTGTTTTTGTATGCATGCTAACCTCCATCTGCTAAGTCAAAACATTTTTTAAAATGCTTAGTTACTTTGAGTTTTAAAATTATGTATCATTCCTAATTCTGCCAATATTATGTATGATAAACTTAATACTATCACATATCCTAGGAATTAACAATTAGAATTAAGTCCATGTCTATAAATCAACAGTAGATCAAATAGAGAAATTAGGATCTTATTTCCATCAATAATAAATGGATATAGAAAGACTATGCAAACTTCATATATACCATCAGTACATTCTAACACATTCAGTTCATATACACAAAGTAAGTACTGACATAAACTCAGTTATCAATGAACAGTTCTTGATGAAATAAGAAAAACACATGGCTTTTGTCATTTTTATGTACCTATATGTTTATCTATGTACCAAAAGATTTACCAAAGCTGTGTATATTATGTACTCAAAGATTTCACAGTATTTCTTAGCATTCCAGCTAAAAGGAATAGTAATTTTTGGATCAAGGTTTAAACCACCTTTGCCTGAGGTCAGAGGCAACACATGCAATGTGTCATGTGTGCCTGAGTATGTAACATGCTTAAAATGCCAAGCACAGAAAACAGCTTGATGCCATTTATGGATGCCCATCTTTCTGCAGTTCACTACAACTTACCCAGTATATTTCTAGCTTCTCTTGTTTCGGCAAGAGAAATGTTACGAGCTCCTTTGGGTAAAGTGAAAGCGCCTCTCGTCTTCCCTTAAATAAAATGTCTTTAATTAGTGGAGGTTTTGTGTTTATCAGAGTCTTACTGTTTCATTGACTATTCCATAAGCCATATATATATTTTATTAGATAATATAAAAATATGTCCCATAATTTAATGCAAAGTTAAAATGTATTTATAATAGTTAATGCCAATGAAAGTTAAATAGTCAATGAAAGTAAAGACTAAGTAGGAATTCAATTCAAAATGATGGAGGTGATTTGAAGGTGAATACTTGCAGATTTCATTTTCCAGCAACTTGAATTCTTTATGGCACCTCTTGCTTAAATGTTTCCCTGTTGGAAAAGGTTAATTAGTCTATTGAATGACACTGATGACAACATTACTGCAAAGAAAAGCATGTTGGATTATCTTTGAATAGTTTGTATGACTGATGAATACTTCTTTTGACTTTGATCTGAAGATTTAGCATAATGGTTGAAGAATCTGAAAAACAGTATCACTACCCTATATTATTCATGATATAGAATGAATGATTGTGGCAAAGATGTTTTTCTTATAATGATTCATTCTGGAAATAAAACAAATTGATTATTTTACACCCAAGAGAAAACAGCAATATATAACTCTAATAAAGCAAACAAGTACAGCACATTACTTCACAGAAAGTGGGAGAATATTACATTGGACACCACCCAAACCAGAATGTATACTGTATGTATAATTATAATGCTGTTTGCTTTATTAAAATAATCAGCCAGAAACAGTGATATTTGCTTTTTTATAATTTTCACAGCACAAAACATGGTAATTTACCACACAGGAACAGACAGCAAAGACATCTGTATGTGGAGTAGAAACACATTATAAAACACATCATAAGAAACACATTATAAAACAATCACTTAGCTCTCAATCAATGTATACCAGAGAGCAATGCTGGTACACGTGGAATCAGCTTGACTTAGGAAGCTGTGGTATAACGGGAGTAACAGAACCATTCCATTTGGATGGAAACCCGCTTTTTATTTTCTTCTCTAAATGTGAAAATTGCCACCAATGACAATGTCATTAACCAAATTTGCTTATTTCTCTTTGTTTTAGCCATTCTTTAAGATACTATACTGGCAGTGCTTTGGAAGCAGTAAGATATTCTTCTCAAGAAAACACATCAAATTCATCTTTAAATGTTGAATGCCCAGAAACACGTGCTCAATCAGTCCTTATTGAAAAACTGAATAATATTTGTTACATGCTTAAGAAATTATGCAGCAGTAAAGGTTTATATCCAAATCTTTTATGGTTATTCAAACAACTATTATGAAACTAATATTTTGCATATTATTTGATTGAGGATAGTTACTCCACTTTTTGAACCTCCAATGTATGTTCAAGTTCAAGCTACTGACATTGTTGCAAGCACAAGAGTTCATACACATGAACAGTGTACTTTAGGGGTTTTTTTTTTAATCATACTTCAATTTTGTCATTTATAAAAATTTTCAAACTATCTAATTTTTACATACTTATGCATTCATAATTAGGATTCTCTTTTATTTATAGATTATAAAATTCTTCACTTTTAAGATTCAAGAATTAAACTATGCTTTATTATAAATTCTATTTAAAATCTCATTTTTAGAACTCCTTGTCAACAGTTTATGTGCAAGATATTAAAATAAGCACCAATGCTAATAACTATTGCACTTTATATTAAATATGCAAAATAAATGATAGCACAGATTTTAGCTAATATACTTTACTTCTTTACTTTTTTTTTCTTAACCACACAGAATTTTTCACCATGGATCCTATGAGTGAATTTACTCAAAGTTTATCTTTTAAGGAACTATTACAAACAAGACAATCTGAATGAACATGAACTGGCTGCTAGTTTCTGGGTATGTTTCCTGAGGAAATGTTGCACTACAAGAAGTCTTAAGGACCACAAAGGATGGAGAAGGACCCTGAATTCATGAAAGCTCTGGTCTTACCAAGCTTCCTGGGAGTTCTGGTAAATGTCCCCTTCACGGTCCGGCAGTGGGAGTTGTCTCCTCCACAGACACCACACTTATCCTCAACCTTGTTAGAACCGATTTCTTTATCACAGCCCACTTTCTGGGGAGAGAAGATGTGAAATGTGGCCAGTCTGCGTGTGCCAAGTTCAGGTCAACAGCTCAGAGAATGACGAACTATTCATTTAATCACAGCCCATTGGCACCATACTTTCTCGGTAGCCATGAGATTTAATGCATAGAATCTTTTAAAGAACCGGTGTGAAATCAAATGACTTGTACTCTGAGGAATAAAGGCTAAATTGTCCTAGTCTAATGAAGTATTTACCCCCACAATAGACTTTCTTAATCATCAAATCAACACTCAGCAGAGGGGAGACAGAAAAAAAAAATAAAACCTACAGGGTGCTTTCTCCTTGCTGTTTTCAACTTTAAAGATGAACAAGAATAGAGTGAATCCTACATTAGTGCAATCTTTAAGCCACCACCTGCAACACCAGCATCCGATTTGAGCAACAGTTCAAATCCTGGCTGTTCCACTTATGATTCAGCTCCCTGCTGATGTGCCTGGGAAAACTACAGAGGATGGCTAAAGTGCTTGCGGCCCTGTCAACAATGTAGGAGACCCAGACGGCATTCCGGGCTCCTTGCAGCCCCAGTAGTTGAGGCCCTTTGGGGAGTGAACCTACAGATGGAAGATCTCTGTCTCTATAACTCTGCTTTATAATAAATAAACAAATCTCAGGTAAAAAGTAAAACAGTTGGCGAGGATGGGTGATGAAACTTGATAAAGCAGTGTAGACTGCAGAGGAGTTCAAATAGCCAGGAAGTTGTATGTTCCTGGATTGTGGGTAGGAAAATCAATATTTAAACCCAAATTTAAATCAAAAGAAAATAAGTTCTACAATATAGGGAAAGAACAGTGAAAGATCTGCATAGAACAGGCTGCAGAAACCTGGAGTCCCAATGGGAATTCACATTTTCATGTTAATGTATTGGGATTTCTGAAGGGTTTCTGGCTGGGACAGGTCCTCAGTGGTCAGCAGTGTAAGGTGATGACAAGGGGAACTGGTCAGGGAAAATCATAACTGCACATCACTTCATGCATCCGATACTCTGGCAGGTGAAAAGTGAACAAATACACATACTCTACTTCCAGGGAAACCTGAGTTCAACTATGAAGCATCTGTGAGGAATGAGTATAAACTTTAGTTTTGTGGAGCTGAAAAGAAAATTGACAATACGAACAATGTTTCAGGTAGCAAGGATAATTACAAATCAACTTCACTACTAACATGAATAAGAAAACTGCCATTAAAAAAAGAGATTAAATATGGTATAAAAATGTTGTTTTTCTTCCTCCACTACTTCTGTTATGGAAGTTGAGAAAAGGAGAAAGAAATGTATTTGTTACTTTTCCAACAAAAGATAGAATACATTTAGCATTGATTTTCTTTAATAAGAAGCTCTTGTATTTTAATGCGATATTGCTGCTGGTAAAATACTCAAAGCAAATGCATTGTGCCCAATTTTTGTATTTCAAATCTGGAGGCATCAGAAAAGGCACCTTTCTGGAAATTAGGAAAACTGTTTAACTCTGATTCTGCCAGGGACCTAAGTTTGATTTTGGAAAGCACAATTTCTCCTAAATTTATTTTTGTTACTGAACTATAAATAGACACATTATAATGTGATTTTGCATGTAACAGACAATTCAAAGATGCAAAATCTGCAGATAAATGGTAGTAAAAGTACAATTGCACAGCCCTTTAGGAAGCCTTTTGGGACGTGATGGTAACTCACCACACACTCTCCTCTCACACATATACTGTATGGATCTTTGTAGGAACAGCGTGTCCCATCATGCACCAGCTGTTTCATATAAGCAACGTCTCCAGTCTCTTTGGATTGACAGTATAGGTGGCATCTTTTCTTGGCTGCATAAGAATCAGGATAAAATTCACTATTTACATAAACTGGAATGTTTGCACATCATTGTCTATCTTAAAATATAAAGTTCCAGTGTGGGTCCCAGCGTGGGTTTAAAGGAATACTGTGAAAATTAATAACATAAGACAAAAAACACCAATACATGGATATGTCATATTTTCATTACAGCCACCATGTGATTTGTCATCTAATGTACAATGCTTAAAAATGATTTATGTATTTGAAACTCAGAGTGCCAGAGAGATTGGGGAGGAGGGGGAAGGAGAGAGAGAATCTTCCTTCTGGCGGTTCACTCCCCAAAACACCACAACAGCTAGGCTGGGCCAGTATGAAGCCAGGAGTCAGGAACTCCATCCAGTTCTTCCATGTGGGTGCCAGGAATCCAAGTACTTAAGCCATCATGCACTGCTTCCCAGGCACATTAGAAGGAAGTTGGAGGGGCCGGTGTCATGGTTCACTTGGTTAATCTTCTGCCTGCAGTGCTGGCATCCCATATGGGCGCCGGGTTCTAGTCCTGGTTGCTCCTCTTCCAGTCTAGCTTTCTGCTGTGGCCCGGGAAGGCAGTGGAGGATGGCCCAAGTGCTTGGGCCCCTGCACCCGCATGGGAGACCAGGAGGAACCACCTGGCTCCTGGCTTCGGATTGGCGCAGCGCTGGCTGTAGCAGCCATTTGGGGGGTGAACCAATGGAAGAAAGACCTTTCTCTCTGTCTCTCTATCTAACTCTGCCTGTCAAAAAAAAAAAAAAAAAAGGAAGTTGGATCAGAAAATGGAGCATCTGGGACTTGAATTGGCACTCCAGTGCGGGATGCAAGCATTTCATGCAGTGACCTAACCTTCTGTGACAATATGCTGCTCTCTAAAGTGGTATAGTTTTGAGACAGAAAAGGGGCTTTATTAATAATTGAGCAGGCACAGCAAGTAGAATTGAGGACTGCCCAGCTCTTTAATAAATTAATTCAAAACCACTTTTGTTTTACTGATGATCGGAGCCTGAAAAAGGTTTCTACTGGTTTTGATCCACTCATCTAGCATAGTTTCTGCCTTCTGCAGGATTGTGTTAATTAATTATAGCTTATGTGACTCACTTCATCAAAATAAATCGGTGCCAGCATTGTGGCACAGCAGGTGAAGCCACAGCCTACAATGCTGGCGTCCCAAATGGGTGCTGGTTTGAGTCCTGGCTGCTCCCCTTGCAATCCAGCTCCCTGCTAATGTGCCTGGAAAAGCAGCAGAGGATGGGCCAGGCGCTTGGGCCCCTGCCACCCATGTGGGAGACTTGGAAGAAGCTCCTGGCTCCTGGCTTTGGTCTCACCCAGCCTTGGCTTTTGTGGCCATTTGGGGGAGTCAACCAGCAAATGAAAGATATTTTCTTTCTCTCTCTCTCTCTCTCTCTCTCTTTACTTCTCTACCTCTGGCTTTCAAATAAACAAACCTTTAAAAAATAAAAATGTCTTCTCAATGCACTGCAACTCTAACATATATTCACGCTTAAAAAACATCTTTAAGCTGAACCCTGTAGCATAGCATATAGTATCCCATAACTATCTTCTTTAACTAATAAAAATAAGAAAAATGGCAAGAAGTTGCTATCTGAAGATATTCAACCAAAAATTCAAGGGGTAGAAAACATTAAAAGAGAACTTAAAAGCAAAATATCAAAATAGAAGTAAAATCTTAAAAGTATTTTTTTAATAAGTAGCTTAAAGTTCAAAACTAGAATGTCATCAAGTGCCTTTTGTAAATAATGGTTTCTTTTTCTTGGTCCTGATTCACTGTAGGAGAACTGTGCTTTCCTCTAGCTATTCAGAAAGGAAACATCACGATGATCCAGAAGCACTTCCTTGGAGAGAGATTTCAGCTGCAGCAGGGAATGCAGCCTCTCTCCCAGGCCTGACTTTCTCCTGGGCTTCCCACTGGTGAGGGCGCAGTGCTGTTGGACAGCGTTCGTAGTCCACAATGCTCACATTGCTAGAGAATAGAATACTTTGGTCCTATTCTAGGAAACCCAGGAGGATATACCTGTAAGTCCTGCTTCTCCTACGATCCATGGAGACAGGACGAGCAAAGCGTAAGCCCTCCATACTAAGGCCAGGACAGGGAGACGAGGGTGGGCTACTCACAGTCTGGGTGCTCGTAGGGTAACCAGTGGTGCCTGCTGTTCTGGTATTCAAAGTGGGAGTTTCGCTGCTGGCACTGCTGTGCTCTAAAGTCCTCAAAGTGTTTTTGGCATTCTTCTGTATTACAAAGCTGGTACTCAAAATTAACACCAGGGCAATCCTGACCACCATTGATGGGCCTAGAGAAAAGACAACATTGAAAGAGCCCTCGGGCTCCAGTCCAGGGCTTGAAGCTTGCAGACACAGCGCTTGAGGGCAGGAAGCCAGAGCTTCTGTGCTGCCAGTGCTCAGTGAATCAACGCAGACGTCCTCATTTCAGTCTCTCCCAAAGCACCCTTCTCTTCCTGCTAATACGGGGGTGGCAGGGCAGACTCCAAAACTCGATTTAAATCAGCCTTTCAAACAGTGAATTCAAATGCATAGCAAATGTACATAAAGAAGTAAAAGAGCACGCATATGGACTCAAGAAAATTATACTTTCTACCATATGTCAACCTCATAGCTCCAACTCAAAGACATTAGATCAAAGCTCTATGCCTCAGTTTCCTCATGTAGAAGACGCAAACACTATTATCCTCCTTAGAATTGTGACAATTAAGTGAACTGTCACATTTAAAGCTCTTAGACCCTGGCTCATAGAGAACCTCGGCTGTTGCTGTTATTTTGATTATTTATGTTCCTTCTCCTGATGTGCCCATCATCTCTGCCTGTGAAGACAGGTACATGGCACCTGCCAGTCCTTATAAACACATGACCAAGACCACTGTGTTGCCAGAAACAGAAAAAGGCTGCTCCCACCTTAAACCCCGATGAGGAAGAAAGCCCCATGTTTAGTAAGTCAATTACCTATTTTCCCCGAGGAAAATAAAGTTTGTTGAGCACACAACAGAAATTCAATAAATTGAGCCCAAGTGAATGAATGGACACTTTTTCCACAATAGTTTTCCGACCTTCCATCACAGTCCCTGTTGCTCTGCGTATGCAGAAGCAGTCACCTCCTACCCAGCAGAGACTGATTCTGTCTGATGGGCACCCTTCTCCCTCAGATGCTCCGCCGCTTCCTGCAGCGCCCAGGGCCTGCTCAGCTCCTTACAATGAGGGTACTTCAAAAGGTTTGTGGAAAATAAAATTGTTTTATTTTGGCGCAAAAAAATTTTGAAATTTATGAAAAGGATTTGTCATCTGATATGCATTTTCTAGGAACTTTTTGAAGACTCCTCATATACACAGATTTTAAAATCTTTTCCAGGTGAAGGTGCATTTTTTATGCCAAAATAAACTTATCTTTTTGAACTATCTCTAGATTCCCAAGCAGCAATTTATTTAAAAACTCTACTCTTCATCAGAACTTCTCATCTTCTTCATTGTCTACTCTACATGAGGTTGGTAAATGAATATTTGTTTTCAGTCCTGTATATTAGATATAGTTCATCAAACAGAATACTAAGAACCTAATATACTTTTCTGGTCTGTCCCAAATCAGGAGAATTGCAGAGATTATACTCACATGGGATTATTGCACTGGCGTGTTCTGAAACGAACACCAGTTCCGCATGTCCGGGAACAAGAGCCAAATTTCGTCCATGACCCCCAGTTACCATCTTGCTTTTGTTGATTGGCATTCTTCCACATGCAATGACCCTTATAACACCACTTAGGAAAATGACAAAAAGTAACTGTGAAAATCATGCACACATGAAAGCTGTGCTGTTATTCAAGAACACTTTTTTGGGGCAGATATTGTGGTGCAGTAAGTTCAGCTGCCTCCTGTGATGCTGGCATCCCATATGGGTGCCGGTTCGAGTCCCAGCTGCTCCACTTCTCCCAATCCAGCTCCTTGCTCTCCATGTGGGAGACCTGGATGGAGTTCCAGGCTCCTGGTTTTGGTCTGTGCCAGCCCTAGTCTTTAGCCATTTGGGGAGTGAACTTGAGGAAGGAAGACTGGTATCTTTTGCTCTCTCCCTCCCACCTTCCCACCTTCCATAACTCTGTCTTTTAAATAAAAAAATAAATCTTTAAAAAAAAAAATGGTCTGTCCTGACCATGTAAAGACTTAAACAAAAAAGGAACTCTCTTTTTGAAATCTCCTTTTGTCTTTTCTTTTCCAGGTGAAAATGCATTTTAAATATCCAAATGCAATGAGACCATTACAATGTCCTATGAGAAGAGTTAGATGTGCATTTTGAAGTATAAATGTAAAAAATGATAACCACTCAGGTAAGTTTTTAAATGAAGCATTCACTAGTGAATCAATAATTTTTCCAGTGCCCAATCTGCACAGAAGTTACTTTTCCACCTTTCATCTATCTAGCTACATGGTACCAGGGTTCTAAAAAATTAACTTTTATTTATTTGAAACACAGTGAAAAAGAAAGTGAGAAAGAGAGACAGCCAAAGAAAGATCTCGCATCTGGTGGTTCACTCCCCAAATGCTCTGAACAGCCAGGGCTGTATCAGGTCAAAGCCAGGAGCTGGCAACTCAATCCAGGTCTCCCACATGGGTAGCAGCAACTCGACTACTTGAACCATCACCTGCTGCCCTCCAGGGTATGAATTACCAGGAAGATGGTGTAGAGAGTTGGGGTGAAACCTGAACCCAGGCACTCAGATATAGAATTGCAGGTCCCAGGCAGTAGCCTAACCACTGTGCCAAACACCCAATCTTGTATCATGGTGTTTTTGAGGGCAACACGCTCCCCATTAAGATCACATGAAATATATACTTGCATGCCTCAACTTAGAAATTAATTAACATATCCAAAATATTTCATGTTTCAAAGCACTTTTACTTAATGTAAACATTTTTCCTTCACACTGATTCTGAGAGTTAGGTAGCTCAGAAATATGATCTTCACCTGTCAGAACAGGAAAATTGAGACTAGATAGGTTCATCACAGCGTAAGGCTATCTTCCATGAAGCAATTGAATGTGGCTACTAGGATTCTGATGGTATAGAAGGCAATCTACTACCCAGCACTTACACTATCCAGCAAATAGCAGGTACTCAAACGGTGTTAGCTATTTTGCTTTCAAACATTTTGACGTTCCTTTTTGCACTATAGACAATAAAAGTGGTTCTTAAAAACTCAACATTTGTAAATGTAAATAACAGCATAACTATAGCAGAGTACTTCCAAAAGATTTTTTTGTATTTTTTAATTTTTTATTTACATGAAAGGAACAAATTTCATGTGTTCATTATGTATAATTTTAAAAGCATAGTGATAATTCCGTCCTAACCTCCCTCCTCCCAAGCTCCCACCCTTCCATCTATCTCCTTCCTTATTTTTTCTTCTCATTTTTACAATGACATACTTTCAATTTACTTTATAATCACAAGCTTAACCCACCACTAAATAAAGAATCCAGCAAGTAGAAATATAAAGACCACCGTTCCTTCAGAGTATAGTCAAGGACTACATTAATCTCCCCTCCCCTCACTCTGTCAAGGTGCCAGACTCAGGTTGCCAAGGTGGAGCACTGGCAACCTTAGTGGGGCAGGTAGCTGGCACCCGGAATGCTGCAGTGCTCTCTCTCTCTCTCTCTCTGCAGATGGGGAGGCTCCTGGGGCTGGGAATGGATGCCCTGCACCCTGTGACTGTTGGAATCCTGTGACCGTGAGACAGGGCATGGGGTGTGACTGAGTCTTTGGGCAATCACTGGGTCTGACTTCGAAATGTTTACGGAGAAATGGAATTTAAAGTTTTTGTTGGGGGTTGGCATGGTGGCATAGTGGGTTAAGCCACTGCCTGTGATGCTAGCATCCCACATGGGTGCTGGTTCTGGTGCTGGCTGCTCCACTCCTGATCCAGTTCCCTGATCATGTGCCTGAGAAAGCAGATGAAGATGGCCCAAGTGCTAGTTTCCTGCACTCACGTGGGAGACCTGCATAGAGTTCCTGGCTCCTGGCTTCAGCCGGGCCCAGTCCTGGACATTGCTGCCATTTGGGGAGTAAACCAAAGAATGGAAGATCCCTCTCTCTATCTCTAACTCTGCCTTTCAAATAAATAAGTAAATCTTTTGAAAAATAAAAATAAAGTTTACTGTACAGAAATACTTTTGATGTATATACAAAAGGTCAAAATACTCATGGAAATCTACATTATGAAAAAATTATACATGAATTTCAAAAGTTTTTGTGCCAAAATAAACATATTTAATTCCACATTCCCACAGACTTTCTGAAGTACCCCTATATTTAGAAGAGTTCAATGTTAAGTGTTAATTCAAGATATCATTTTTAAATAAAGAATGAACTCATTGTTGTTTTTAGTCAGAAGAACTTTCCCACAGCAAGACACTGTATATAATGTATTTAGCATAGTGCCTAACATAGTACAAACACTTTATGACAGGCTTTACTATTATTATGAATAATTCTCATCAAAAGGTAGTTTATACATATTTGAAATGGAGCATTAGAAGAACTGAAAGCTATAGATCTTTGCCAGATGGTGGCCCTGTCTGCAGTATCTGATTTCTCTCCTGGGCCAGGCTCTTCAGTTTGAGTTCTCAGCATGCTTTTGTTTGGGAATCTCTGCCCTTACTTAGTAGCATAGCTGGGCACTCAGCCACTTTCTGAGCATTCAACCCTGACTACACAATTTGAGATTTAAAACCTCTGGGCATCTTTCCCCAGGGAGCAAGGCCAACTCTTCCCAGTTCACATGACTTTATTTCTGGGCAACTTTCACAAGGAATGGGACGCCAGCAAGTAAATCAAATCCCACTAGCAGGGGGCCAGAGTTTCTGTGGAGGCACTTCTTCCGAGTCTATGGGTTATGGGCTGAATGGAGATCCAATGTATGGGGCCCTAATCTCTGGAATCTGGATGTATTACCTTCTTTAGAAAAGGGACCTATGCAAATGTGACAAGGCATTTTAAGAGTGGGAAACCATTCAGTATCTTTCTGAGAGAGGGATAGAGAGTCCGCATTCTCCGGAGAGGAAGAGGCAATGAGACTATAGGAGGCAGCAGGGGGAGGGGTGCAGCCGCCCCAACCTGGAATAGACAAGGGAAACCTTGTCCACAAGGGCCTCTGAGGGCATGTGGCCCTGTTCACTTCCTGATTTGAGCTCCAGGACATTAATTTTGAACTTCTGGCCTCCAGAACTGTGAGAGAATACATTTCTGTTGTTTTAAGCCATAGATCTGTGGTCATTTGTCAAGCAGCCACAGAAAACTTGTACACATTTCTAGTGCATGACTGTAAAAAAACCTCCACATAGTTCTATGGTTTTCATGAAAATGACAGTGCAACTGCATTTATTATGTTCCAGACTTTTAGAGATCATTATATAACACATCTTAAACCCTCGTTGAGTAAGTATATATACTCACTTTTCCAGCAGAACATTCAGTCCCATCAAGCGGGGGTCCCTTTTTAGTCTTACAGAAGTACGGATTATCAGGATGGCTACACCACAGCTGTTTACATGGGTCAAAGGTTCGGAACTGGAAAAGACAGAATCAAACTCTCATTGGTCTCTCAACTCACATGACATGCACCAATATGATATATTATATGGTTTCTTCATGTCATATTTCTTGCATATTTTCAAGTTAAGAACCACAATTGAGAAAAGTTAAAGGGAAAAAAAATACTACGTAAAGGGTCAGACATTTGGCACAGCAGTTAAGACTCTGTTGGGGAAGCCTGCATCTCACATTGGGATATCAGGGCTTGAGTCTAGCTTTGTTCGACTCCAGCTTCCTGCCAATACATATACTGGGAAGCAGCAGTGATGGCTCAAGTAATTGGGTTCCTGCCACCCACACAGGAGATCTAGATTGAGTTACCACCTCCTGGCTTTGACTGCACCCAAGCACTGTTACTAGCATTGGAAACCAGTGAATGAGAATTCTGTTCGATTATCTGCCTGTCTATATCTGTCTCTCATATAAATATTTTATTTTAGAAAAGCCAAACAGGGAGTCCAAGATAAAACTTGTTTATTATTGTTACTTTAGAAAAGCAGAATATTCTGTATTTGGAATACTAACATGGCATTTTTTTTTTTATTTTTTAATTTGAGAGAGAGAGAGAGAAATCTTCCATCCACTGGTTCCCCAAATGTCTCTAACAGCTGGGGCTGGGCCAGACTGAAGCCAAATGCTAGGAACTTAATCTAGGTTTCCCACTTGGGTGATGGGGACCCAAGGACTTATGCCATCATCTGCTGCCTCCCAGGGTGGAAGTTAGCAGGAAGCTAGATCCGGAGCACAGGCAGGACTGGAACCCAGGCACTCCAATATGGGATGCAGGTATCATATGCAGCATACTAACCACTGTGCCAAATACTTGTCCCCTTCAAATCTGTTTTCCATAAAACACAATATGACATCCAAATGTTTGTGTATGCATGTACACATATTTGTGTGCATTTCCTGTTCATCTGTACTTTCCTTCTAAATGTAAACATTCTTTAGATTAAGAAAAAAAACAGACAACAGTCTATCCACATATCTACTGCCCACATTGCTAATTACCCACTGACAGCCTTATGTTCAGATTAGTTTTATTAGTACCCATTTTTAGGCCTGGAGTTGTTGTTTTTATTCTTACTTATAGCAGAAATTGTACTTTTCCATGACAGTCAACCATCATTTTAGAATTCTCAGATCTAAAACATTAATATGATTAGTGAAGAACTAATAGTATATACTTTATAAGACCAAAACAGCTGTATTTGGAAGATTTTAAACAGATAAATGTTTTTTCTAATAATGAGATATTTCCCTCACTATGCACTCATATTCAAGAGTGACATACTAAAAATGTTTTTGAAAACTGCATATGTGGGCTGGGCTGGGCTGGGTGACTGGTCAGCTACACCTTAGGGTGATCAGGTAAGAAGCTAATCTTTTACTGGGACCCCCTTACCAATACCAGTTTTACCAGGTCTTTCTCCTAGTTTTGTTGTAATACACAAAGCTTACTTCAATGCATAAAAAAATACTTCCCTTTAAAAAATAAACTATTAAAGATCAACATGGAATTGAATGAACTATATTTCCAAACTGAGTAGTTACACAAAGAATGACTTCCATGGGTTCCTTTGAGCATTTGCTATGTGCCTGCATTGTACTAAACACTCCAAATTTAACCCTTACAATAATCCTATGACCTAGATAATACCATTATCCATATATTACATGTGAAGCAACTAAGCCAGAAAGATACATAATGTGTCCAATGTCATATGCTTACCAAGTGTCAGAGCCAGGATATAAACCATATGGCAGCCACATTCCTGATACCCACCCATGTGCACCATTGGATTCTCCTACGACAATATACTAGCACACCTTCTCTATGATCAGAAATCTGGAATACTGGCCATCAAAGCAATACATGGAAGGCATGAGAATAACATCTGAAGGTCATAAAAACCAGGTGGAGAATGAGAGTATAAAGATTTGGAATTGATAGCCTTGTGTGACAGTCCCATTCCCCCATTTACCAGATGTGTGAGTTAAGCAAGTTACTTAACCCCTGTAAAATTATACCAAATTTTGTCACCTGCAATTAGGTTTAAATAAGATTTTTATATATATATATATATATATATATTTAAATCATTTAGCTTTTGCATGTAGCAACATAGCAAACACAAAATAATTGGTTGATGTACTTATACTTGGATCAGTGAGTCTGCAAAGCTTTATGAAGAGGAACTACATAATTAAATTTCAAGATGCAAAGTCTGAGTTGACTATGAGTGACGTACCGCAGTGCACATTTTATAACCAACACCAAAATCAAAACGACATTGCTCGTCCATAGAATAATTTATTCCAGGAAGTTCTGGGAGTTTGGGCCAGTCATGTTCAAAAGGGTCATCAAGGAGACAGTCATAGGAGCTGTAGAAAGGAAAACATGGCATGTAGTTCAATGTTCACCTTTTAAAATTAAGTCCTAATAGAAAAGTGCTCTAGGGGATTGCCATCAGATCACAAAGCAAGTTCAGAAACGCATGCATTCTGAGGTTTCTTGCTACAGTTCCAATTAGAAAAAAGATATTTTATTCTTATTGAACCCATAAAAGTGAGCCAAGTGTGATTTAGGAAGGCAGTAGTGCTAGGATACTCTTCTGGTGTCACTACCTAACCATCACATGGTGTGGCAGGGCAGATCCCTAACCATCACATGGTGTGGCAGGGCAGATCCCAACACCCATACTGTAGCAGAAAGGTAGAATAATTTGAAGGAATCCATGGTCATCTTCTTCCCATCCTCAACTCAAGCTTGGCCATTACACAAAGATGCCATGAGGAACTCACGTCATGGTTGAAGATGCACTTTGATTCTAGGCTTATTGCTTGAAGCAATGTGATTACATTCTGGAATTGTGCCAAATGCTCTGAGTTATGGGAAACTGCTTATGAGTAACAGCAGTTTTCACTGGCTGGAGATTTTGTCACAGTCAAGATCCTAAGAGTCAGTGTCAGGTCTGCAGTCTACAAGATCCAAGCACTCAGGTCACCTACTGGATGTATCTTTTCAGTTCTTGACCACTGCATCGGGACCAGTGGTAACGATGAAAGGCCGCCTGCACCAAGGGAGCCATGACACTGCCCATAGCAGTCTCATCACCACACCTGTTGCCTTGTCCATCGTGCTCCATTCCCAAGCTAGAACACAAAGAAGATCCCAGGGGGAAGAATCAGAGGGCTGCAGCTTTTCTTTCTCTTTTCGAAAAATAAAAACTAGAACTGGGAGATTGATTTTTTAAGCCAACATGGCTTCCATGGAGAAGCCGGTCTCTGAAATTGGGGACAATCTGACAAAAACGCCCTGCTTATTCTATAGCTCTGCAAAGCACAGGAGTTCTGTGAGCTGGACGCACTCATTGTGTTTCAGTGCATGACTTCTTCACTGATTTCAGCTTTGGCAAGGGAAGGGAATCGCACACTGGCAGGCATTCTGCCCAAAGTGCAAACAATACGGGGAGGAACAGGAATTTTTTTTTTTTTTTTTTGCTTTGTAGCTGTCAACAGTGACTTACACATGGCCAGTTTCATGGGCAACTACAAAGGCAGATGAAAACCCATCCTCATGATTTAGGGTACAACTTCTCACTGGATGACACATGCCTGTGACTGGAGCATATCCTGCAGAGAATAACAATCACTTTTATTTTCATTTTATGAGAAAACCCATTAAAAATTTCTACTGGACCTTTGCCTGCTGGGGAAAAAATAGCTTTCAGAAAACAGGAGCAGTATTGTGTGCCTGCTGACATTGTGCCACATTATCTTGGGAAAGCCACAGGTAATAGGCTCTAAAAAGATTTATTGGGTCTGCATTTTCTCTTTTCCTAAGGAAGGAACTTCTGGGGTTACCATTCTGTTCTGCCCACCAGCTAAGCCCTGTCATTCTGTTGTAGTAAATGGTCCTTCATATCGTGATACTGATGAGGGAGCCAGAAATTCCATCCACAGTGAAACGAAAATCACCCCTCTGCTTTTTCCAAAGTCCACATCAGAATATATTAGGTAAATTCAAGCTGACTTTGGAAGAAAGCTCTTTGGCTGCAGTCACTGGTTCAGTATCTCTTTGCTCATCTCAAGCACTTAGGGGAAGGCACACTGCATCAACAGTACCCTGTTAATACCCCAACTGTGCCATCCTTACTTAAAAGGCAAGTACAATACATTGTGATATTTAAGTGATATTTAACATTATGCTTTCCACAGAAGTCAGTGAAAGCCATCGAAAGAATGCATGCCCGGCTCATGTGTGGTAGTGGGGATCAAAACATTTGAACAGCCAGCCTGATTTAGGATTACTTCTGAAGTCATGTCCTTAAGTGTGTCTTCTACAAATTAATGGCAATACCTTGCATTCCTGCTGGCCCAAAGTCTTGCCTCGTTAAGAAAATTGCATGATCATGGTGTTCAGAGTGGTTGGGATCCGATTTTTGTTGTTGGCAAGCCCAGCGACATACATTCTCCAAGCTCCTGGATGGGTTTCCCCTTTCTATGAGGCTGATGGACTAGGAGGAAATAATATGTTAAAGACACTTTTGACATTTCCCCAAAGATGTCTCTTAGTAACTTTCTGTGAGGTTGAAATTTGGGGTTACTGTACTTTAATAATGATGAAGTAATATTTAACTGATACCTGGGTATGGAAAATTGTACATGTCACTCAAGATAATTTTTATGATGATTAATATTACCTGTGCAAAAGTTAACTGACACCATTTATGAAATTGTCTGATGCTGAAATTGCTGTTGTGAGATAACTCAATGTTAATTATTTCAGCAAGGATTTTAATAGTCTAAATATTTTGTTTAGCTATTTAGTTTCAGAGATATTAAGAAGAAAAATATTGGGAAATATTCTGGCATGGGACTTTTTCCAGAGATATGAAAGCACAAGATCTTAGTTAAAATTTTCGTGCATTTTTTAGTACAGAATTAATCAACATGTGGGAAGAATAAATTTTTCCACGAGCTGGCAAAGCTGGTCAACTTTATGTGGAGCAGTCAAATTATGTGATTCTCATACTGTAAATTTAAAAAAAAAAACTACTTTTAACCTCATGAGAATATAATAAGGAGGGTGCACTCTCATCTTGCAGTTCTAAAAGACAGTATCAAGTTCCTTAGTATATTGCTTCTATTTCATTATGGTCAGGAGTTAAAAGTTCAGAGGGGAGAGGGGGCTCAACCACCAAAACCGAGGAACCACACTTCTCAGAGAGTTCTGATGGAATGCGAAATTAAGCTTGGAACCCAATATTAGTCCCTGCTTGGCTGACAGGCTGAGAGCTTTGTTATAATTCAGTAAATGTTATTATCAGTGTTTACATTCTTAATAAAAATAGCTTGATTTGTTATATGCTGATTGCATTCTTCTCCAAACAAATAATGTTAAAAACTAACTGAAACCGATTAACGTGCCCAGCTGGAGTTAACTTGCATTCCTCTTTAGCAACACAAAGTAGGTCAGGTTTATGGGATAAACTAAAGGTCAATGACACCCTATCATTAGAAAATGGTAAGTGGATGTTTAATATACTCATATCATGAAATGCAAACACATGGGTTTTTCCTGTTTCCTAATTGCAGAAATCCATTAAAATTTCATAATCAAGAGAATTAATTATAGGAAAGGGACATGCTATTTTAAACATCAAGAAAATTTACAAGAAAGTTATTCCCCCTGTACTTCCTCCTCAATGGGAGAGACTTCTTCAACCATTTCATTATCTCCAAAAACAGAGCTACATCCTAGCACCATTTTAAAGCCAGGTAAACTCAACAAAGGTAATGAAATTTGGATGTATTTGTTGTTGTTTTCAAAAAGATGACAATTCTTTTAAATAAAAAATATTTACTGTGCTCCACTTCTCTGTAAAATGCTGTTTTTAACAAATCAGGAGAAACCAAGGGTCTATGTCATCTTTCTTTACATATTCCAAGTACCTAGACAGCATATGCCACATAATAGGTAGTCAGTATAGACATTTTGAAAGCATAATGAATCACAAACTTGATAATGATAGGAAAAGGCGATTCTCTGTCCTCACAATGAAATCCAAATGTGTTCCTTCTTATGGCCTTTCTTGAAGTCAAGATGCCGACCTCACTATTAGAGTAAATCAGTAAACAGGGCAAAAATAATTCATTGTCTGCTTGAATTTGGAGAGCTCTGCTGACTGGCAGTTCCTCATCCTCAGTTCAGAGCAACCTGGAGTCTACTTAGGACACATGGCAGTTCTAGCTTCAGCAATGCAGTCTTCCGGCTACCCACCCAGTCCCCAGTGTTCATGGCTAACATATTTCAAGACCTTTTACCTTTGCATAGCCCAGCATTATCATGCGCACCAGCACCACATTGATATGCACTCCCAGGGACTCATCGTGGTAAATTTCATTCACCTGAAACAAAGCAGATTATTGCTGGAATAGGACACAAAGGAATTCGTGGGACATGCAACACCTGAGGGATTAGCCATGGAATCCCAGTACTAGAGTCAGAGGATTATTTTCAATTTGGTTTAAGCTGAACCCAGAAATGAAGTCATTTACCTTTGGTTTTGGGAACAATCCTGGGATAGGTGCATTACTGATTTTGTAGGTGCCACCGGGAGGTGCACATGCAGATCATAATCAGAAAGGACTTCATTCGAGCACTGTAGTGTTAGAGTATGTGTGTAATTTGCTTACAACATTTAGCTAAAGCAACTGCAGGAGGGTAACTAGTAAATCCTCTGCTAGCCCATGAGTCACTGCAGCCATGATGGAGAAAATCAGGACAGGCATTTCCCACTGGTGCTCACATGACCAGCAGGGGTATGGTGTGTGGGCGATGGAGTCCTTGCCTTTAGGGTCTGGTCTGTGCACAGGAGCCGTGATGGCCTATCTGTATGGCAATGAGAAAGCAGCCCTCCCAGTACCCCTCCAGGAGCAGAAAAGCAGCTGGAACAATTTTGTTGTTGTTTAGAAGTCCTATAAGTAAGATGCCCTTCAATATTCAAGTCTCTAGTGTAAGAGGTAGGTGTTTGGCACAGCAGTTGGATCACAGGCTGATATGCCTGAATCTCACATCTGAGTACCTGTTTTGAATCCTGGCTCCTGAGCTCCCAGTCCATCTTCATGCTAACACACAACCTAGGAAGCAGCAAGTGATGGCTCAATCACCTGTGTCCCTGCCACTTATATGGGAGATTTGGATTGAGTTCTTGGCTCCTCACTTTTGCCTGGCCCAGCAACGGCTGTTGTAAGCATTTGGGGAGTAAACCAATAGTTGGAAGATCTGTCAGTCTTCCAAATAAAATGATAAGTTTTAAAAAAGATGATTACCATTCCTTAAAACAGGAACAAATTACTAAGAGGACTGTACAAGTACACAGTAGGTGAATGTCAGCACTGGATACGACTCAGAAGAGCAAGTTAGGATAGGCTAGAAATTAAGACACTCCATGGGACACCTGCATCCCGCACCAGAGTGCTTGGATTGGAGTTTTGGCTCTGCTTCCATTTCAGCTTGCTGATAACATATACTCAGGGAAGCAGCAGGTGATGGTTGCCGTACTTGGCCTCCTGTCATCCATGTAGGATACCCAGATTGAGTACCTGGCTCCTAACTTCAGGCTGGCTCAGCCCTGGCCTTTACACACTTGGGAAGTGAGCTAGTAGATGAAAGCTTGGTCTGTATCTCCACCTCTCTAATAAATAAAATACAAATTCTTTTTAAAATAGAAGAGTAAAGTTAAATCATTGTGGTTTACTTAACTTTTAAAGTTAGGCTTAAATTTCTAAAAGCGATTTTACACTTTAAAATCATACATATTGGAAATAAAGCAAACTGAGGACTCCTAGTTCCAACTCTATTTTATACAGATGAGGAATATGAAGTCAGGAGAGATCAATTGGCATGCAGAAATCACAGTTATTCAAAGATATGGATCTAAAGTAGACTATAATGATATATTCTGACTAAGCTACTGCAAAATGAATGCAAGTAAATAATGTTGAACAACTTGGTACATACTAGCAGGAATGAGAAAGGTAGAGTTGGTTGGTTAGGTTACAAAGTTCTTAGCTGTTCCCAAAGAACAAGTACTCCACATTTGTCACAATAGCTAAATGAAAAATAAAAAAAGTCACTGAAATTTGACTTGACATTCAGGAGATTTTGACAGTAGGTGTAGCAAACCTAAGGCTTGCAAAGGAAAGACAGGCATAATCCTATAGAGAAGCCTTAAAAGAAATCTAACTCAAGAATGCTCTAATAAAGGAAATTTGTAAATAGTAACATTTTTACTTCCCCCACTGACCAACAAAAAGACTGAGAAATCTCAACTGAATGTTTCAAGAGTTCAACGTGATAGAACACTTTAAGCAACCAAGGCCTCAAATGTCAAGTGAAGGTGTATTTACTGCCTTTATAGGTGGCATTAAAAAAAAAGAAATAGTGAAGATGAAGGTACAAAAAACCCAAGACTGTATTAAAAATGACAAACTGGGGAGTATGTGCTGAGAAATTAAGATGTTCCTGTCCCACGTCTGAGGTCTGGCTCTCAGTTCAAGCTCTTTACTTCAGCTTCCTACCAATGTACACACTAAAACACAGTAGTGAAGGCTCAGGAAACTGGGATCCTGCCACTCATTTGGGAGACTTGGATTATGTTTCCAACTCTTGGCACCAGCCCAGCTCTGGCCATTGCAGGCATCTAGGGAATGAACAAGCAAATGGGAGCTCTCTTTTCTCTGCATCTCAAATTTTAAAAAAATTGAAAAATAAGTGGATCAAAATATTTTTTAAATGACATAGTTCAACAAGAGAAAATGTATTGTTCTTTTAAGTGGAAAAATGCATATATATAAACAAACATTTAAAAACCTACTCACACACACGTGCACCCACATACAGGGAAAATGGTGAAGTTTAATGCCTGTATAAAGTATGTCAAGTAGTTACAAAAAAGAAAAGAATACTTGTAGTGAACTCTCGCGTTGCATAGGTGTGCAGGCGAAGGTATCTAACACCCAAATCCTCCCATTCTAGGTTACAGAGCACCTGCAGGATTGAGTTCATTTCTCTATGCTAGTCTTTCGGAGAAGTATTTGACAAATATGAATAGATTCAGAGAAGAACAAATAACAAGATGCCCAGAAAATGTTTCAGGGAATGAGTAAGTGGAGGCACACGTTGGTTACCAGCCTGCACATTAGACATGGTCTCAGGAAAATCCTTGTCTGACCCCTCTTTGCCTGTGAGATTTCATCATTAAGAAATGGCTTCAAACAATTATGGCATGTTTTTAGTTGAATGTGGTTGAAAAGTAAAAGCATTTGATACATATTTTTTAAAACTTTGAGAGCAATGCTAATAAATGAACAAAATTTAAGAACACTAAAAGTTAATAAAGTTGGCTTGGAAAAGTAGGCTAATGTCTGGAGAAGAGGAGTGACAGAGGGTAGAAGGCACAGCCCTTACAAAATAGCAGTGATGACCAGACGACTATACTGTAACATTTATAACACATACATATATGTAACAGGAAACATGTACATGAGAAATCTCAGAATATAACATTAAGAAAAAGTGGTAAACACGACAAACAGCTTGTGATAGGAGTTAGTGTGAAATGTCTAGGCATCACTCAAAATTAGTGAATTCATCTGTACTTGCAATTTTAAAAATCAACACATGCCAAGAAGTATGATGAACAAAATTCTTGTTCCCAGTAGCAACACTACATTAAAAAATCAATGAAAAGACACTTTGAAAGGTAAATTTACCATTTACCAAAAGAAAAATATTATTTAACTGAAGTCACTATTACGCTAGGTTAATTAGAAAATGGGGGTTTGAGTGAAACCAAAATCAGCTATGAAATGTTCTCAGGCACAGCATACAGTTTGGAAACAGGGTGTAGGTAAGTTATTCTGGATAGGAATAATTAAATATAAAACTCCTTTTATAAACAAAAGTATTCTTTCCATGGGACATATTATTTTGCAAAGCACTAGATCTTATCATTGTGATTTTCAAAGCTTACAAGAATTGGTTCCTATTTTTTTTTTTTTGAAGATTTTATTTATTTATTTGAGAAGTAGAGTTACAGATAGAGAGAGGGAGAGACAAAGGTCTTCCATCCATTGGTTCATTCCCCAAATGGCTGCTAGGCCAGAGCTGAGATGATCCGCAGCCAGGAGCCAAGAGCGTCCTTTGGGTCTCCCACATAGGTGCAGGGGCTCAAGAACTTGAGCCATCCTCCACTTCTTTCCCAGGCCATAAGCAGAGAGCTCAATTGGAAGAGGAGCAGCCAGGCATGAATCTGTACCCATATCCTATTATGCCACATTGCTGGCCCCATGGCTCCTATTTCTTATTCACTTTTTAAAATGCTCTTAGAAACCTGGTGGAAGTTCATCTTTCCAGGACTTACCAATGCTAGAGATGCAGTATATACACTCTGAGACGCATAGGGTCTGACAAGTGTTGGAGGAATAACCTAGCACTAATAGGATTCCACCTCCTGGATTCTGGTCCCAGTTCTGTCACTGATAATAAGCAAGGCCAAGGGTTGGTCATTCAACCTCTCTGAGCCTACTAGGTTTTCTCTGGAAAATTTTAATCACACTTGCTCTGCCTGCTTCACAGGGTTATCACTCAAATCAAGCAAGATGTCTCATAAATGCACAAAGCAAAATACAAAGTACTTTAGCATCTCTCCACCAACTCCTGCAAAAATTTTAAAGATTTGTAGATATAGTTTCAGAATACACTTCATTGGTCCCATCAGAATTTTCACTAAAAGACATGTCAGGACTCTACAATTTGAAATTTGTTAAACCCCAATCAATAAAAGATGTAAATTATAAGGAGGAATAGGCATCCAGCCTAGTGGTTAATATGTCCACTTCCCATCTGAATACTTAGGTTTGAGTCCCAGCTCCAGCTACCAATTTCAGCTTCCTACTAATCAGATTCTGGAAGGCAGCGGGTGATGGCACAAGTAGTAGGTCCCGGCTACCCTGGCCCCTGACTTTGGCTGTGGTTTTCAACCTGCCCCAGTTGGTGAGGACATTTGGGGAGTGAACTAGTGAATGGGAGCTCTATATCTGTTTGTCTCTCTGTCATTCTATTTTTTTTAATTATCAAGAAAATTATAGAAAAGTAATTTGACACTTTTTTCAAAATCAGTCTAAATGGTGTAGGAAAGCTCATTCCAGCAGATGGCAGTGTGCACACTTCAGAGAGGGAAGACAGACAGCTACTTAAAACACCTGGACAATATTTACACCCTGGTTGGTATGTCTAACTCCTCCTCTATTTACACATACAAAAAATAACTTCCCTGAAATTAAATAAAAATATTATTACAACCCAAGACAAATGCTAAATTTTCTATGTTTATTCATTTGAC